GACCAGGGTCCATACACTTGGGCTATCTTCTGCTGCTCTTCCTAGGCCACTAGCAGGGAGCTAGATTGGAAGTGGAGCACCCATATGGGAAGCCTGTGTCATAGGCAGTAGCTTTCCCCACTATGCCACAATGCTGGACCTGAATAAGTTGATTCTTTTTTTTTTTTTTTTTTTGACAGGCAGAGTGGACAGTGAGAGAGAGAGACAGAGAGAAAGGTCTTCCTTTGCCATTGGTTCACCCTCCAATGGCCACTGTGGCCGGCGCGCTGCGGCTGGCGCACCGCGCTGATCCAATGGCAGGAGCCAGGTACTTATCCTGGTCTCCCATGGGGTGCAGGGCCCAAGCACTTGGGCCACCCTCCACTGCACTCCCTGGCCACAGCAGAGAGCTGGCCTGGAAGAGGAGCAACTGGGACAGAATCCGGCGCCCTGACAGGGACTAGAACCCGGTGTGCCGGCACTGCAAGGCGGAGGATTAGCCTAGTGAGCCGCGGCACCGGCCTAAGTTGATTCTTATGAGAGTGACTTGTTATAAGGCTGTGTGCTTGGTCTCTTCTGTACATGGCCAGTTGCCTTTCCCTTTTTTCTGTTATATGTGACACAGCAAGGGAGCCGTCACCAGGATGCAGATGCCATGCTGTTTGGACTCTCTAGCCACCAAAATCATGAGCCAAATAAACTTCCTTACTATATAAAGTACCCAGTATCATATATTCTTTTATTGCAACAAAAAAGATGGATACATCTTAAACTAAAAATTAAAGGGCTATACAAGAGATATTTTCACACAATTATAAAACACTATGTTTAGCTCTATTGCAGTGGTCAATAAGTTGGTTTTCTGGTATGCTAGATGAGACTATTGGTGGAGTAAAATGGAAATAATTATGCTGTATCTGTTAGAAGGCTTTTGGCTACAAATAACACAATGTCCAGCTAAATTACTGAAATAATAAGGGGGTTATTTACATACAAAAAAGATATCTAAATGTAGGTAGTTGTGGGTCTGCGTCAGTGGTCTCAACCATGTCATGAAGAACAGCTCCTCTGTCCTCCATTCCGCTATCTTCCGTATGAAAACTTTTGGCCTTCAGGTTTTTCCCCTGTTGCTTGCAAGGAGCTGCTACCCCTCTAGGCATCACACCCTTGTGTAGTTCATTCACATGTAGGAAGCAGAGGGCAGCTAAGGTGACAAGAGAGCTCTTTGCAAGTGTGCTTACTGTTATTTTTTTCTGTCTTGGAGGAGAATTTTTCCCAGATCCCCCTGCAGACTTCCTAATGTGTCCCATAATCAGAACTGGGCCCTTGGTTGTTTGCCAACATGAAGGCAAAGTATGTATCTAGTATTTTAACATTTATCATGCAAAGTGGCTTTGACAGGAAGCATGAAGGGTGATGGAAGTTACTGCTGGGAGGGTAACAGATCTGCCTTATCCCACTGTTGTGAGGACTAAATGCAGTACGTGGGTAAGTTACCTTTCCCTGGGTTAGCCACCGAATTTCCCAAGGGCTCAATTCCCATTTGTTTTGTTAACTTCATTTCTCTTTTCTGGTTTCCTCCCTCACTTTGCAGATTTGGAAGGAAGGAGGAAATTCCAAAAGTTTGCTCAGCCTCCCTATATGATGGTACTACTTGTCTCTTCCATGCAAGCTATTTTTTGTAGTTCTGCAGATCTAGTTTTCACAGACCACTTGGAATCTCCTCAGCCTCTCAAGAAAGACCTTGATCTTGGACTAAGGAATACATTGCTATGGCCAGTGCATATATATTAATTATAAATAAGAAACTGAGAAATTTTTATAAATTAAAAACACCAACTGAGTGTGGTATTTTTATGTTAGCCTGCACTAAAAACCATCTGTGTCAGTGGAGTGAAGCTCTTTTTACACAGAAAAAGAGCAAAAGGCACCTCCCCCCACCCACTTTGTGCTTGTCTGGACTGACTGCTGGCTCTGAGCACCACAAGATGTTTCTTGCCATTAGACAATGATTTCAGTTTTTCCATTCCAACTGTGGTGAAAATGAATCAGAAAACTGGATCCTGCCTCTGGAAGCAGGAGACAGGCTCCATACTAATCAAAAAAGGAAGATTCATTATTAGACAATATTTCACTCCCCAGACTTTGAAGAGTTCCTGCATTTGTCAGAGCAGCTCTGAATCACTTCGTGGCCACCACAGATTAGAATGGGGATATTGTGCAAGCCTGACCCCTTGCAGGAAAGTTTCTCTTCTATTCCCCCCGCTTCTGAATAAGCTGCTCTTATTGATTTCTGAGTCACTGCAATCCAAATCTCATCATTTTACCTTCTCTTTTAATCGTTTTACCAGATAATAATTTTAAAGGCAGGGGCAAAGGTAGAGTTAAAAAGAGGGGTGGAAAGAGGTACTACTTACCCTAAAATGCATTTAACTAGGAAGTACCAATGAAATAGTGGTACTGTTACCAGGTAAAATGAAAAATGAAGTTTTTAGGAACCTGTTAGTAGAGATAAAGACTTCAAAAGGCTGAGCTCTACTTGCCAAACCAAAGCTGATTTAGTAATGAAATCCTGAGCCAGTACTGATGAAATGGACCCTCGTCTGAATATCAGAGTGACTCCTCTGGCTCTATGAATGGGAAATGGGCTTCCTTGTCCCTCACCCCGGGGAAATCCAAGTGATTTAGTCTGCTTTTCAGTCCCATCATTTAACGCCAAAAGACAAAAATATTGACAACCCCAGGCTATGGCACCACGGGATTCTGTTGGACACATTGCAAAGGAAAACCAACAGCTGTCTAAATCTCATTTTCTTTATTAACATTTGATTAATAAATCCTGTACCATGAAACCAAGCAGATAAAAAACCAGCCTTCATTACAAAGGTGATAGTGGAAACTGAGAAAGATGATGTTGTTTTGTCCAAGTCAATAGGTTTTTATCAACTTGAATACCCCTCTGTATCTGCCATGGACATAGGTACCCTGGGATTGTGCAGATGGAGTGAGAAGCGTGGTGCTGTCCCGTGGGAGTGCTCCCTGTCTTCTGTCAGGGAGGCGGACTGACATCCAGGAAACAAGAGATCATGGAAAGTGCATAGGGGATCATGCTTAACTGTATGGGGTGAGTGTGAATGGGTTCAGAAGGACATTGTGGGGAGCAAACCGGACTGGACTGAGTTACTGGAATTAAGACTTATTCTATGCATCTGCTCTCCCACAATATGGCGCTGGGAGAGAAGTAAACAGCTTCCGCACAGCTGCCTCCAGTTCAGCTAATAAACTGTAGGACTTGCTCCTGATTGGAGGAGAGCAGCGTACTCGGCGTGTGGGCAGCCGAGTTAGGATTGGCGGAGGAGGACTATAAAGGAGGAGAGAGACGGCATGCACCGGGAACATCTATGGGGAACATCTAGCTGAAGGAACACCTGTGCAGCCCCCGAGAGAACCGGCCGGCGGTGTGCCGCTCCCCTGCGGAAGTGGGGAATGTGGCCAGAAGCGTGGTGCTGTCCCGTGGGAGTGCTCCCTGTCTTCTGTCAGGGAGGCGGACTGACATCCAGGAAACAAGAGATCATGGAAAGTGCATAGGGGATCATGCTTAACTGTATGGGGTGAGTGTGAATGGGTTCAGAAGGACATGAGTTGCATCTCTTCTGGGTAGGGCCCCTAGCTGGCTCTTTTTGTTATCAGTGTTGTGAACTTGTCATATAAGGCAGGGATTTAATAAGTAAATTTCAAATACAGGTTAAGTCCATACTGTTATTCACCCATACTTTCATCCTACCCAATTTTATGCTGGCTGCCTCTGCTGATGCATGTAAATACACACCAAAAAATGCACCTCAAAACCCTGATAGTTTAAACAGTCACATATCTGCACTTACATGTACTCAACTCATACACTATCATTGAACCTCATTTTTGTTCTTCTTGACCTTATGCTGATTTTTTGTCTCTTTCCTCTCTTACATCATTGCCAGGAATAAGAAAGAGTAGAGTAGCACCCAGTTTTTCCAAGCTTCCACACCAGTTCACAAATACAAAGATTAAGAATTAGAAAAGTGGAGCCGGCGCTGCGGCTCACTAGGCTAATCCTCCGCCTTGCGGCGCCAGCACACCGGGTTCTAGTCCCAGTCGGGGCGCTGGATTCTGTCCCGGTTGCCCCTCTTCCACGCCAGCTCTCTGCTGTGGCCAGGGAGTGCAGTGGAGGATGGCCCAAGTACTTGGGTCCTGCACCCCATGAGAGACCAGGATAAGTACCTGGCTCCTGCCATCGGATCAGTGCGGTGCGCCGGCCGCAGCGCACCGGCCGTGGCGACCATTGGAGAAAGGAAGACTTTTCTCTCTGTCTCTCTCTCTCACTGTCCACTCTGCCTGTCAAAAAAAAAAAAATTAGAAAAGTGGGACTGGCATAGTGGCTTTGTGGATTAAGCTGCTACCTGCAATGCCAGCATACCATATGGACACTGATTCCAGTCCTGGCTGCTCTACTCTGATCCAGCTCCCTGCTCATGCGCTTGGAAAAGCAGAGGAAGATGGCCCAACTCCTTGAGCCCCTGCCACCCATGTGGGAGATATGGATGAAGCTCCTGGATCCTGGCTTCAGCCTAGTCCAGCTTGGGCCATTACAGCCATTTGGGGAGTAAACCAGCAGATGGCTTATTACTCTATCTACATTCTGGCCATTTATTTATATTTATTTATTTAAACTGTTTTCATAGTTTAGTTTCTTGTAAATTGAATTCTGTTTCTAAATAGGGCCTTTCCATTAAGCCAGCCCTTGCACAAAGTAAATGAAGAATAAGTTTTTGGGAATATGCTTGACAGGTGCTGTCTTGTTATCTGTAATGTTTAATTTTATATGTCAATTGTGCTGGACCATGGTATGCTCAGATATTTAATCAAATATTATTTCAGATATTTCTGTGAGGTGTCTTGGGATGAGATTTACACTTAAATAGGTGGACATTGAGTAAAGCAGATTCCCCTCCACCACATGGGTGGGCCTCATCCAATCTGTTGAAGGCCTGAACAGAACCAAAGGTCAACTTCCACAGAGCAAGAGGGACTTCTCCAGCAGGCTGCCTTTGAACTCCATCCACAATGTTGCCTCTTCTTGCCTTTCAGTAGATTGTGTTGCAAGTATTTCCTGAGAAGAACTCACCTATCAAATGCTCCCATTCCTTAAAATCAGAGTATCTATCTATCATCTATATTTATATTTATTATCTACTTGCCTACCTATATTTTTCCATATACACATAAACACCCTGTATTGGTTCTGTCTCTATAGAATCTTGATTAAAACAGCATCCTAAAGCTGACAAGGAAGAGAAGTTAACAAAGCATTTATGCCTTTCCTAACTAGCATCGTAACTAAGGATGTGGACTAAAGGGCTAAGTGGAGGATTTTAAGTCTGTTTGCTTAGTTCACATATGAGCTCTGCCCCTTCCTCTGCTTCATCCTAGAAAGATTACCTGAACTCCAGAAACAGCAGTTTTTCAGATAATTAGAGCATTGGCAAGACCTGAAGTTATTTGTTTTGTTACTTTAACAAATTACCACACATGCTAACTTTAAAATAGCGTAAATGTATTCTCTTCCATTTCTGGAGGTCAAATTAAGGTGTCATCAGGGCTACTGAAGGCTTCAGAGTAGAATCCATTTCTTGCTTTTCTCAGCTTCCAGAGGCCATTTGCATCTTTAGATCATGGCTCTTTCCGTGCACCGCTCTAACTCCCTACTTCTGCTGTCACTACTACTTCTCCAACCTGCCTTTCTTGTAAGGATCCTTGTAATTATGTTGTGGGATGGCCCCTGGCTAAGCTTGAACCAGGTTCTTGTCTGCACCTTAGAAAAAATTCAAGGAAGAGACCATAGAAAATGTTGAGCAGAAAAACAGTATTTATTTAAAAAGAAATTACACAAAATTACAAGAATGAGTGCAGGCAAGCTTGGGCGAGATGAAACTGCAATCAACAAAGTTTGGGGCCATTCTTTTATGTTATCCTGAGGTATAGGAGGTGGTGTGTGGGGCAAAGATGGTGGAATTTGAGATAGGGCTTGAGTACCACCCATTTCTGTGCTCTCTTTTGGAAATCTCAGCAGTTATGGTGTCAGGTGTATCATGGGAATGGGAGTGTCAGCCATGGTAAGTTTATTATAATGACATTATAAAGACCTAAAGGTCATCACAGGGACACAGCCTTCAGCCATCTTGGCTATTTCTAGCTGATGCTGGTTCTAAGTTGCAACCTCCCAGAACTTGTGGTTTTCTTCTACACGAAAGGGGTGGGGGACAGTTTGGGTAGTGTACAGAAAGGGAGTTTTGGGCAGTACAGGAAAAGGGAAAGGTCGGTACAGGAAAAGGGGGTTTGGCTGGTACAGGGAAGAGGGGGTGTGGTTTGAGCAGTGTGGGCTGGGCTGTTTGAGCATGCCAGCATTGTCATATGGTTCAGCCAGAGCGGCTATGTGGGCCATGCTGCAGCAGGCAGGGCAGCAGAATGGTGCTGGCAGAACCTCAGCTGCTGTTTGTGAATGCTACCTCCCTCCCTCCCTACATCAATTACATTGGACCCACCCAGATAAGCCAGGATAATCTCCTCATATCAATATCCTGGATTAGATCTGCAAATCTCTTTTGATAGAGAAGATAACCTTTACAGGCTCTGGGGATTACAGCATGGGCATTTTTAGTGGGAGGAATTAGCTTGCCACACCTGGTCATCAGAGGTAATTGGCTTTAAGTAGAAGGTGGATGAGGAAAGGGATTCCAAGACTTCAGAGTTGACACTTGAAATCATTTCATTTTTTTTTGAGAAGTGCTCAGTTATTTGGTGAATGCCAAGAGTTGCAACAAAGAAATGCTTTCTTGGCTCCTAAGGAGACAAATGTGTTGATACTTTTCATTTTTCTTTAACAATGGTCATTTTACTTTTAGAATAATCACAGAGTAAAACTTCCCCTACCTCAAAAAATTAATATAAAATGCTTTAAAAAGTATTACTCTGTGGTCATTTAGGTAAAAAAAAATCTATGAGGCTTCATGGCAGCTTCACCAAGTGCTTATCCAGTCTCCTGTAAGTGACTTTTAGCAAGAATTAAAACTTTTTTTAATTAAAAATTGTGTCTTATTTTATTTAAGAAGGAGAGAGAGAAAGGGATGAGGGATGGGGAGGGAGATATCTTCCATTTTCAGGTTCACTCCCCAAGTGCCTGTAACACCCAGTGCTGGGTCAGGCCAAAGCCTGGAGCCAGGATCTCAATCTGAGTCTCTCTTGTGAACGGCAGGAACCCAGTACTTGAGTCATCATTTGCTGCCTTCTCAGGGTGCACAGTAATAGGAGGCTGCATCAGAAGTGGAGCTGGGATTCCAACCACACACTCCAAAAAATGGGATGCAGGCATCCCGAGAGGTATCCTTAGTCTTGTACCAAACATTCATTCGAGGAATTAATACCTTTTAAGATGGACTCTGAAGGCTCTCTCAGTACATATGTCATAAATCAGTACAAGTGTCATAAATCCATGCCATTGTTTGAATTGTGGAATTTGTCATCCGTCTGTTGTTTTGAGCCCTTGATGTGCTGAGTAGTTTCTGAGAATCAGTCACTTGCAGTGCTTTTTTCTTGGCCATGTAGGTAACTCTAGGGAACTTTCTGGGCCTTCTGTTTGGTGTATTTCTGTACCTTGGGTCCTGCCATAACTTTGGTTTGACCTAATCTTAGTAGGGAAAACTTAGTTTCAACTCCATCGATAGAAATGTTGAAAGCATTCTGATGCTCAGTTCAGCAGTTGTTCTTGGAAAGTATTCCAACCAGCCAATGAAGACTATGGACTGAGCTTACTCTAATGGGTAAAATGAGCCACTCAATTTCAGGGACCCCAGGCTTACTTTCACTTGGCAGTTGAACCCCCTGGGCATTCACCAGCTTTCAGGCACAAGGACTTCAAATAAATACTTGGAACTCAGTCTAGAGCTCAATGACGATTTATTACCCCCATTCCATACTATACATAATTACATTTCCTCCTCTTCTTCCTTCTTCTTTTTCTTATTTCTGAAATTCTCACTATTTACCTATCTGGGACTGAATTTGTTTCAGTCAGGCCTGTTCTACAATATCCCAGTCATTTCCAGGCTTGCCAGAGATTTTTGGCTGTTACTTTACTATCTGTTTCTATTTTCTGCTTTGCCCTTTTAAAGCCTTGCTTTGCCACTTCGAGGTGGATGCTTTCCTTTGTTTTAGCATGAAGTGAATTGCTAACATGGCAAAGGAGGCTAGCCATGTCATGGCGCCCGTAACTGTGTAAGCAAGACCTAAGAAGAGGCTGCTGCCTCCACTCCATGTCAGCGTGGAGAGGACAACTGATTTTTCTCCTTGGAACTTGGTTACTGGGAAGTCTAAGAGGACATGTTAAGGATTTGTTTCAGCATTTCTCATCATTACCACTATATATGCTAAATATATTCAGTTGAACCATGTACAATTGCTCTTTTTTTAAAGTAAAAATGATTAAATATTCAATATTCATATGGTTGGTTCAACCTAATATTTACCAAACAGTACTCTGTATCTTGCTGGAATAAAATAAAAAAAACTTGGCTGGTGCTGTGCTATAGTAGGCTAAGCTTCCGCCTGCAGCGCCGGCATCCCATATGAGCAATGATTCGTGTTCCAGCTGCTCTTCCTCCAATCTAGCTCTCTACTATGGCCTGGGAAAGCAGTAAAATGGTCCGAGTATTTGGGCCCCAGCACCTATGGGGGAAACTTGGAAGAAGTTCCTGGCTCGTGGCTTCAGATCGGCCCAGTTCCTGCCATTGTGGCTATTTGAGGAATGAACCAGCAGATGGAAGACCTTTCTCTCTGTCTCTCCCTCTCTGTAACTCTATGTCTCAAATAAATAAAATATTTTAAAAAAGTAAAAAAAAAAAAAAACAAAAAAAACAAAAAACCTTCACTCTGTGTGGTGTTGGAAGGAGATTTGGACAAGAGAGATCTGAATGCCTTATAGACAACTGAATGCCTTAAGGACAACTGAGTTATAATCAGATATAATTGATTTCCTTTGGCAAACCCAAGGAAATTAAAAGAATATAGGTACATCTCACAGTAAACTTAAATTTTTGTTTATGAATCAGGAAATCTAGGGTTGGCTAAATTACTTCATAGGCTAAAATTTGCATTCCTACCTCAAGGAAAATTCTTCAACAACTGTAATAATAATGATGATGACATAGCTAGCAAAAGATTTTGGTGGGAAAACTAAAGGTGGCGCATTTGTTTGTGTTTTGAAAAGGGTAGGGTCCCTCACTGCTGGTGAGAAAGTGTTTGAAGTGGGTTTGCTATCATTAGCGTTTTAATGATGTCATTGTGATTATGCATGTGGCCTGAGGTTTTTAAACATCTGGTGCCTTTTGTAAACCAAACTAATAAACAAACAAAGGCTTCTCATAGCAACGGCACAGGAATGAGGCATTTCCCAGCAAAGCTCTTAAAAGGCCTCAAATCACTTGGCAACATGCTATTTAAAGGTACCAGGAAACCAGTACTTTTTTTTTTTCTTTTTTTGTTTTTGACAGGCAGAGTGGACAGTGAGTGAGAGAGACAGAGAGAAAGGTCTTCCTTTGCCGTTGGTTCACCCTCCAATGGCCGCCGCGGCTGGCGCGCTGCGGCCGGCGCACCACGCTGATCCGATGGCAGGAGCCAGGAGCCAGGTGCTTTTCCTGGTCTCCCATGGGGTGCAGGGCCCAAGTACCTGGGCCATCCTCCACTGCACTCCCTGGCCACAGCAGAGAGCTGGCGTGGAAGAGGGGCAACCGGGACAGAATCCGGCGCCCCGACCAGGACTATAACCCGGTGTGCCGGCGCCGCTAGGCGGAGGATTAGCCTAGTGAGCCGCGGCGCCGGCCTTTTTTTTTTCTCTTTTACATCAAAATTCCTCATTGTCACCAGGTCCTTGGGTATCATCTCAAACCATCTGCTTGACTGTTCTCCCTCCTTCATTTCCATTGGAAAGGATCTTTTCCTTGCACAGAGAACATCTCTTTTCTCTTAGAAGGGGCAGGCACTGTGTGCAGCATGGGCTTGGTTCCTACTTCCCTATTAGGCCAGTGTCTGGTTGGATGATAGCCTAAGGGCTGTTCACAGGTAGTGCATGTACAGGACTGAAGTGCAGAATCAAATTCTAGGAAGTTCTAGATTTGCGAATGATCAGCATTAAAACATAATTGTGAACAAAGTTACCAAGGATACCACATCCAGCGAGGAGAGTTTCTCCCTTGTTTAGAATATGAGTTTCCATCCTCATCCTCCCATCCCCAAACTGAGTGTAATACATTGTGTGTACAGCAATACATGTTCTTTTTTCCTGTTTCTCAAATGCAACTCTAACTGCTTTATTGGCCAGGCAGTCACAAAGTTGACTGGATCAGAAGGTCCAATTTGAGAGACCACTCACTGTCAAACAACTTTCAGTTTCTACTTAAATGTGAGGGAGAGGGAGTTTGCTGAACTCCTTGTTCAAAATGAATGATCTGGGACCAGTGCTTAGTTTACCAGTGGCAGGCATAGCTGGTAAACCTGCCACCTGCAGTGCAGGCATCCCATATGGGCATTGGTTCCTATCTTGGCTGCCCCACTTCCAATCCAAATCTCTGCTGTGGCCTGGGAAAGCAGTAGAAAATGGCCCAAGTCCTTGGGCCTCTGCACCTATGTGGGAGACCCAGAAGCTCCAGGCTCCTGGCTTTGGATTGGCCCAGTTCTGGCTGTTGCGGCCACTTGGGGAGTGAACCAGCGGATGAAGACCTTTCTCTGTGTCTAACTCTGCCTCTGAAATAAACAAATAATTTTTTAAATGCAAATTCTATGATTTACTCTGATATGTGCTTCTGATGCTGTTCTCCAAGAGACACAACTTGTGGCTTTCATTGTCAAACAATAGAACTAGAGACTATTAAATAAACTAACTGAAGGCAAAATGTACACCTACTCAGTAAACAACAGGAGGCTACAAAAAGAAAGGCAGAGGTGATGACACAGCTGCAGGGACATCTGTGACTGAAGAACATCCCCACTTCCCTGTCAGAATGGAGATATCCACACACCTGCTCTAGGATAGGAAAGAAGATGGAGTAGGGAACTGGAACACATCATCGTTCACTTTTCATGATTCTCTCGCTCAGCCACCCTGAGAAGTAGAATGATAAGGTGGGCAATTCTGTGTTAAGAATCTCTCCCACTAGCAACTGCTTGCCAGTAATCCTGATATGCTATGGGGAGTGCTGATGCCTAATTGGGCAACAGACACAAAACCATGTGTAAGCTCTGGGAAGACTCTGGCTCCAAGAGAACTCTGCCACAGAGAGAATCAGAGAGACTTGAAAATTGAGTCTAAAGACCAGTTAATATAAATTATGTTTAAGTACATAATTTTTTTATTCATAAGCATTTTTAAAGTTTTTTTTTTAAACTTAAGGCAGAGTTACAGAGAGTTGGTGAGGAGAGAGAGAGAGAGATCATCCATCTTCTGGTTCACTCCCCAAATGACCACTATAGCAGGGACTGGGCCAGAGTGAAGCCAGGAACCAGGAGCTTCTTCCAGGTGTCCCATGTAGGGAAAGAGGCCCAAGCACTTGGGCCACCCTCTGCTGCTTTTCCAGGCACATTAGAAGGGAGCTGGATCAGAAGTGGAGCAGCTGGGACTCGAACTAGCGCCTATGTGGAATTCTGGCATTGTGGGTGGTGGCTTTACCTGCTATGCCACAATCCCAGCCCCTTTCTTCTTCTTCCTCTTTTTTTTTTTTTTTTTTTTTTGACAGGCAGAGTTAGACAGTGAGAGAGAGAGAGACAGAGAGAAAGGTCTTCCTTCCGTTGGTTCACCCCCCAAATGGCCGCCACAGCTGGTGTGCTGTGCCAATCCAAAGCCAGGAGCTAGGTGCTTTCTCCTGGTCTCCCAAGCGGGTGCAGGGCCCAAGCATTTGGGCCATCCTCCACTACCTTCCCGGGCCACAGCAGAGAGCTGGACTGGAAGAGGAGCAACCTGGACAGAATCTGGCACCCCAACCGGGACTAGAACCCCGGGTGCTGGTGCCATAGGGGGAGGATTAGCCAAGTGAGCCATGGTGCTGGCCCCAGCCCCTTTTGTCTTAATTTTTTATTTTATTTATTTATTTATTTATTTTTATTTTTTTGACAGGCAGAGTGGACAGTGAGAGAGAGAGACAGTGAGAAAGGTTTTCCTTTGCCGTTGGTTCACCCTCCAATGGCTGCCGCGGCTGGAGCGCTGCGGCCGGCGCACCACGCTGATCCGATGGCAGGAACCAGGTGCTTCTCCTGGTCTCCCATGGGGTGCAGGGCCCAAGGACTTGGGCCATCCTCCACTGCACTCCCTGGCCACAGCAGAGAGCTGGCGTGGAAGAGGGGCAAACCGGGACAGAATCTGGTGCCCCGACGGGGACTAGAACCCCGTGTGCCGGTGCCGCAAGGTGGAGGATTAGCCTAGTGAGCCACGGCGCCGGCCTCGTCTTAATTTTTTAAAATCAATGTTTTGTAGAGTACAAAGTTTCTTAAAGACAGTATTTGGTGTCATTTTAAAGTTAAATCCTTCTTGTTCTTGAATAGAGTTACATCTGCATTTTAAAATTCAGTTTAAAAAGTTTATAATCTCTTGTTAAAGCATATGGCCACTATCTTGGACCACAGATCTGTAAAAAGGCACCAGCTCCTACCTGCTGGCTTCTTCTTAAGGGAGGGAAGGGTAGTCATGTCTGTGCATTGGGTTAACTGAACTTGCCCCTGAGTGCAGAGTCCCTTGGTCTCTGATACTTTTACCTATGATAAAAGGTTCTGCAGTTTCTCTTGGCTTTTGTTAGTTTTAGTCCATATTCCAAATTTACTTTTCTCTTTAAACCCCTCTCCATTTTCATGGTTGGGCCGCCAACTTATCCTATCCAACAGGGCATGCCTCTCCTCACTGTTTTAGATTTCTAGGCCCACTGTTACTACATTCATCTTGGGGGACAGAACTAGTCTTTCCCCACCTTTCTGTACCTCCTTACCTGATGCTGTTAATAACTGTTATTTCTTAAATTAAAAAATGCACATCTAAGTATATATTATGGAGATACACAGCTATTAAGTGACAGGAAGAAAGTCAAAGAGGTTCAGGATTTGCCACCCCAAAATATACTAGTTTGGCATACTGATTATTTTACAGCTAAGGGTCCTTGAAAAACAGCAAGTGCATGAAAGGCACTGTGATCTCTCCTTCTCTTCCTGAAAATAACAGATAAAACTTACATTTAAAAGATTCCCTTCCTATACCCTGGGGGGGGGGGGGACAAAAAAAAAAAAAAAACTTTTTTAATTTAATCACCAGAAACCAAGAGCTGAGGATGACAGAGATCTGTACAGACCTTGTTAAACTAACCCTTTTCTTTCTGGTCACTTTTCCAAGATCACCATTCTTTGTTCAACTGAGTATATAAGCACTTAGCCCTCATTACTTCTTTGAGTCTTTATTTTTCTTGTGAGAACTCCCATGTATGTGTGAATAAAATTGTATACTTTTCTCCTGTTACTTTCTTTTATGTTAGTACCATGAGTAAAAATCTTCTACACAGTATTGCCTATACAAGAAATATACATTCCTTTCCTCTCTTTTGGGGGTGGGTAATAGAGATTTGGTTATAGAAAATAGGAAAGGGTAGAATGAACTACTTTAACAATGAGTAGCCATATTTTCCTTCACCTCCAGAAAGAAAGTGGTATAAAAGGATACTATAGGTTATGTTGAAACTATAATTACCAGCAGGTAAGCCTTCAATAAAATAGTGTATTCGGTGGAGTCGACGGTATAGTTTCTTGAAAGTGGGAAAGGCAGCTGTCCGCATCCACACGATGAAATCGTCGTTGAGGAAGCCATTATTTTCTGGATCATCTGGATCCAGCTCGTAGATAGGCTTGGGCCAGTAAGGGGGCTTTGTGGTTCCTGTGGAAGGAAAATACAGAATGTGGTAGAGAAAAATCATCTGTCCCTTTCAGTTTTTCATAGAGTATGGAGAATGAAACAACTGCATTCCTGAGGAAAGAGAAATAGGTTTTAAACTTTTAAAAAGTATGTATGTAAAAATAACCATTTCATCCATATACAGTAAATCTTAAAGTACTCACAGATCATTAAAACTATAATAGTTTTAACCTTGTTTATAGTCATTGTCTGTATTGCCACTAAAGTAGGGCCTTTTTACTTGTTAAATTTCTTTTTCAGCAAAGTACTAAATCTTTTTAATATAATGTAAATTTACATTATGTTACCTCAAAAAGTAAGAAAAATGGGGAGAAGGAAGGAGGGTATGAGGGGGGACAAAGGAGAGAGAGAAGGAGGAAGGGAATATCATTATGTTCTTAGAATTGTGTCTGCAAAACACATTGAATCTGTTAAAAACTAATTAAAAATTAAAAGAAGAAAGAAAAAAACACACAAAAACAATTTAAAAATGTACTTTAAAGAGTGTATGTGTGTGTAAGCTACCTGAATATGTAATGATTGAAATATAACCATTTTGGGCCGGCGCCTTGTGGTGCCGGCACACTGGGTTCTAGTCCCGATCAGGGCGCCGGATTCTGTCCTGGTTGCCCCTCTTCCAGGCCAGCTCTCTGCTGTGTCCAGGGAGTGCAGTAGAGGATGGCCCAAGTGCTTGGGCTCTGCACCTGCATGGGCTCCTGGCTTCGGATTGGAGCAGCACAGGCCGTGGTGGCCATTTGGAGGGTGAACCAACGGAAGAAAGACCTTTCTCTCTGTCTTTCTCTGTCTGTAACTTTACCTGTCAAAAAAAAAAAATACCATACTGGTGGTTTTTTTTTTTTAAAGATTTATTTATTTTACTTGAAAGTCACAGTTATACACACAGAGAGGAGAGGCAGAGAGAGAGAGAGGTCTTCCATCTGCTGGTTCACTCCACAGATGGCTGCAATGGCTGGAGCTGTGCCGATCGGAAGCCAGGAGCTTCCTCCAGGTCTCCCATGTGGGTGCAGGGGCCCAAGGCCTTGGGCCATCCTCCAGTGCTTTCCCAGGCCACAGCAGAGAGCCGGAACAGAAGTGGAACAGCCGAGTCTCGAACCAGTGCTCATATGGGATGCCAGCATTGCAGACAGTGGCTTTACTCGCTACGCCACAGTGCCTCCCCCAACATATACTGGTTTTACATAAAAATTGGTTCATACTGGGGCTGATATTATGGCACAGTGGGTTAAGTTGCTGCTTTTGACACTAGCATCCCATATGTATGCTGGTTCAAGTTCTGGCTGCTCTACCTCTAATCCAGCTCCCTACTAATGTGCCTGCTTAGGCAGTGGTAGACTGCCTAAATGCTTGGGACCCTGAACCTCTCCCTCCTTCTCTGTAACTCTGCCTTTCAAATAGATAAATCTTTAAGATATTTGCCTAATACTTAAGAAAAAAAAGAAGAGCAACAACATTGAAGAAGCAGTGGAAATGGGAGCTCCTGTGCAGAACACATATGTGGCTTAACATTTTTGGCAATCTAGGAACACATATTGAAAGCTTTAATATTTGCATACATTTTGGCCTGAAAGTTTTATGTTTTTCTTTTTAAAGATTTATTTATTTATTTGAAAGTCAGAGAGAGAAAGGGAGAGACAGAGAGATGTCTTCTATCCTCTGTTTCACTCCCCAAATGGCTGCAATGGCCAGAGCTGGGCCAGGCCAAAACCAGGAGCCAGGAGATTCTTCCAGGTCTCCCACGTGGGTGGTAGGGGCCCAAACACCTGGGCCATTTTCTGCTGCTTTTCCTGGGCCATTATCAGAGAGCTGGACCGCAAGTAGAACATCTGGGACACGAATTGGTGCCCATATGGGATGCTGGTGTTGCAGGCAGCGGCTTTACCCACTACTACATGGCCCTGGGAATTCTATTTCTAGAAATGTGTTCTAAGAAAATGATCATGGAAGTAGATGAAGATTGTGACACTTGGATGTTCACTGCAGCACTGCACCTAAAAATGCAAAACTGGAAGCAAGGAGGGGGCGGTGGTAAGTGGAAAGAAGTGGTGAGCACAGGCCTTGTAAGCGGGTTCTGAAGTCAGGTAGCCTAGAAGGGTAGGGCACTGCAGGAATGTTGGAAGCACAGGGTGGTGGGTGGTGCCAGAAGTGAGTCCCTGGAGTTCACCCTCATTCTTACACTTCTCGATTTACAATGGTGCTCACATTGGTGTCACTCTGCAGGAGACTTTTTAACAGGTGTGTCCCTCGTATGTTTTTTCACTAATGTTTAGTCCAATGCCTGGTGCATAGTAAATGTTCAATAAATGCTTGCTGGCCGGCGCCGCGGCTCACTAGGCTAATCCTCCACCTTGCGGCGCCAGCACACCGGGTTCTAGTCCCTGTTGGGGCGCCGGATTCTGTCCCGGTTGCCCCTCTTCCAGGCCAGCTCTCTGCTGTGGCCAGGGAGTGCAGTGGAGGATGGCCCAAGTGCTTGGGCCTGCACCCCATGGGAGACCAGGAGAAGCACCTAGCTCCTGCCTTCGGATCAGCGCAGTGCACTGGCCACAGCGTGCCAGCCGTGGTGGCCATTGGAGGGTGAACCAATGGCAAATAGGAAGACCTTTCTCTCTGTCTCTCTCTCTCACTATCCACTCTGCCTATCAAAAAAAAAAAAAAAAAAAAAAAAAAAAAAAAAAAGCTTGCTAAAGGAATGAAATATTTCAATTAAATCTGACAGAAGTTGATAGTCAATCAGAGTCAGTTGTTCAATGAACTTTTTACTACCATGAAGCTGGCCCTAGGATGTCAGAATGCTAGATAGGAAGCCACTCTTTCTCAGCTCCTTCTTTGACTAAACTATTGTGTCATAAAAGAAACTCAGAAATACTTCTAAGCATGGGCTATTGTAATTGTAAAAGCATATTCTGGGGCTGGCGATGTGGTGTAGTGGGTGGAACCACCGCCTGCAGTACCAGCATCCCATATGGGCGCTGGTTCAAGTCCTGGCTCTTCCACTTCTAATCCAGCTCCCTGCTAATGCACCTGGGAGAAGCAGTAGAAGATGGCGCAAGTCCTTGGGCCCCTGTACCCACGTGGGAGACCTGGGAGAAGCTCCTGACTCTTGACTTCAGATTAGCACAGCTCCAGCTGTTGTAGCCATCTGGGGAGTGAACCATCAGATAGAAGACCTCTCTCTCTCTCTCTCTCTCTCTCTCTCTCTCTGCCTCTCTGTAAGTCTGCCTTTCAAATAAATAAATAAATCTTTTAAAAATATATAAAAGCATGGTTGGATAAATCTGCTGTAGTATGTTGGTATACTTAAACATCCTCTGTAAATTATCCTTTCTTGGAGAATCTTCTGCAAACATTGTGCAGCCTACTTATTTTGGCCATTCTTAAGATTTTAGTCACTGTTTGATCCCAATTGAAATTGTTTTTGGTGTCTGCTCTGTGGACCTCGTCCTTTTTTACTTTGGCCTAAGCTCATGATCCAAGACAGAGAGTCCAATGCATTACTGACAAGAGACTAATCTATGGTAATTGTTAAAAATGTAGTTCAGAATCCCTCTGCACCCCCAATTCCACCCCATACTGTTTTCAGACACTAATTTTCAGACACCAGTTTCAGTTGGGTCGTTTGTATGCATCCATTCATTGAACAAGAAACATTTCTTGATTGCTCATTATATATCCAGCACCAGGGATACAAAACTGCTTAAGACCCATGTACTTTGCTCAGAGAGTTTACAGGTTGAAGGAGGCATGAAAAGTATGCAAATGGATAATTGGAATAAATGTGGTTATTCTTACAATAGGAGTAAAAACAAAGTTTAGTAGGAGATGAAAGAAAGCCAAGGATCCTTTGTGTTATGGGCTGGTAATTGTATGGTTATGTGGCAGATAAAATAAATGTTGCCAGTTCCTTTCAAAACTAGTAATTCAGTTGTAGAAACAATGAGTAAATATGTCAGTTTGCTTAGCACTGTCCCAGTGTGTGACTATTGTCCATTATCACACAGTATTTATTCCAAACTAGTTCTGTACATATACTTTATTTTTATTTATTTGAGAGGAAGGGAGACTGAGCTCTGATCTGCTGGTTCACTTCTCAAATGCCCACAGTTGTCAGGGCTGGGTCAGCCCTGGAGTCAGAAGGTAGGAACCTAACCCAGGTCTCCCACATGGGAGCCAGGACCCTAATTATCTGAGCCGTAACTGCTACCTGCCAGGATCTGAATTGGTGGGAATTTGGGGTCAGGGGCTAGAACCTGGAATTGAACTCAGGCACTCTAATGTGGTCTTAGTTGCTAGGCTAAATTTCCACTCCTGTACATATAACTGAAATCTTTCAGCTTCCAGTCATGGTCTTAGCTAGTGGTGTGTGAGATACCCAAGGGCAGCAAACGGAGTGCTAATGTTAGCATGGGATTATATATGAAAGATAACCACAGAGCCTTTCCGTCAAAACAGAATGTAACATATCCCTGTGACCCTTGCCAGCTGTTTAACATTCAGCCAGTTAGGCCTTAACTTGTGAGATATGTGAAGCTGCCAAGCTGCAATTCCATGGGTTCAGGGGGGAACATGGGAAATTATAGGTTAGGTTATGTGTACCCGATATATGTGTGGGAACTAGATGCTGAGAATTCCTGAAGAGAGTAGTCTGAACTCTCTTGCAACAGTGGTTTTGCTATTTATTATATTATATAAATATATTTAACTATTGTATTATTTGGTACGCTTTTATTTGCTAATAAATTTTTTTAGTTGTGAAGCTCAAAAAAATGGAATGTGCGTGCCTGATAGAAATAAAAAGATATAAATCTGCTGAAAAACATCAGAATCTACTTCAAAAGTTTGTGATTATTTCCATCTAGTGGTTAAGGCACCACCTGGGATCTGTAATCCAAGTGCCTGGGTTCAACTTTTGTCTCTAGCTCTTAACTCCAGTTTCCTGCTGATGCAGACTCTGCTAGGCAGCAGTGATGGGTGAAGTTAGGAGTCCTGCCCCTTAAGTGGGAGACCTGGATTAAATTCCTGGCTCTTGGTTTTGGCCCAACCCAGTCTTGGCCCTTGTAGGGATCTGGGGAATGAGCTAGTGGGTAGGGGATTTCTTTTTGTCTCTTTTCCTCAAATAAATATATGAAAGCAAAAATTATTTTTATAATTTGTGGTTATTTTGAAAATACTGTACCCAAACACAGTAGACCTATAGAAGGTCCATTTAAAAATCATTCTGTGAACATGACTTTTCATTTAAATCAAGTGGACTTCCTCTTAGCTTTATTAATTTTTTATTGCAGGATTTTTTTCTTTTTCTGTAATCAACAAAAAGCTTTTAATGTGTTGGTTCCTTTAGCACAGAAGGAACTTTGTAAACAGTTAAATGAGGTCAGTTTTACATGAATGCCTTCAAAGAGAAAAATCAGGTAAGTTAATTATGGAAATAGCTAGATTTAGCATAGGGTTTAATTCCTTGTGGAATCAAAGCAAAGCTTTTCTAAGTTCAATCATTGAAGATGAAACCTCTGACATTGTTACAAAATGCTACTGTAAAATCTGCTAAAACCTTCAACAATCACAGTAATATTGTTTGATTTTGTGGTGATAACAAAAGTGCAAATTTGGGGCTGGCGCTGTGGTGTAGTAGGTTAAGCATCAGCCTATGGTGCCAGCATCCATTTGGATGCTGGTTTGAGTCACAGCTGCTCTACTTCTGATCCAGCTTTCTGCTGATGGCCTGGGAAAACATCAGAAAATGGCCCAAGCTCTTGGCTTCTGGCTTTGGAACAGCCAAGCTCCGGCTGTTACAGCCATTTGGGGTGTGAACCAGCGGATAGAAGACCTCTATCTCTGTTTCTCCTTCTCTCTGTAACTCTGCCTCTCAAGTAAATAGGTAAATCTTTAAAAAAAAGTGCAAATATGGTAGAGGATCACATATGAGTAAAGACAATGCTTTTTGTAAATTGAGAAATTGATAGAGAATAAGTATAATTAAAATTGATTGTGGCCGGCGCCGCGGCTCACTAGGCTAATCCTCTGCCTTGCGGCGCCGGCATACCAGGTTCTAGTCCCGGTCAGGGCGCCGGATTCTGTCCCGGTTGCCCCTCTTCCACGCCAGCTCTCTGCTGTGGCCAGGGAGTGCAGTGAAGGATGGCCCAAGTGCTTGGGCCCTGCACCCCATGGGAGACCAGGATAAGTACCTGGCTCCTGCCATCGGATCAGCGTGTTGCGCCGGCCACAGCGTGCCGGCTGCAGCGGCCATTGGAGGGTGAACCAATGGCAAAGGAAGACCTTTCTCTCTGTCTCTCTCTCTCACTGTCCACTCTGCCTGTCAAAAAAAAATTGATTGTGGCATCACTGTAATTCACAACTGTGCCCAAATAAGCTATAATATTTTAGTAATCAATAGAAGAGCTGTAGTTATACAAATGTAAATGTGTTTCTGTATTCATGGTTAGAAAAACTTAACTGCAGAAGTTTTACAATGATACAGATATTCATTTAAACATATACTGCAGTGTGGTACTATATGTGTTTCTTGGTCATATCATCAACCACAATTTTACAAATGTTTCAGCCTTTGAAAAGTGTGTTTATACATCAAATAGTGTGTCCTGGCCAGTGCCGCGGCTCACTTGGCTAATCCTCTGCCTGTGGCGCTGGCACACCGGGTGCTAGTCCCAGTTGAGGCGCTGGATTCTGTCCCGGTTGCCCCTCTTCCAGTCCAGCTCTCTGCTGTGGCCCAGGAAGGCAGTGGAGGATGGCCTAAGTACTTGGGCCCTGCACTTGCATGGGAGACCAGGAGGAAGCACCTGGCTCCTGGCTTCGGATCGGCACAGCGCTCTGTCCGCAGTGGCCATTTGGGGGGTGAACCAACGGAAGGAAGATCTTTCTCTCTGTCTCTCTCTCACACTGTCTAACTCTATCTGTCAAATAAAAAAAATTTAAATGTTATCTCAAAAGCTAACACAATAAGAAAGGGAGAAGGAAGGAGGGTAGGAGGGAAAGAGCAGGAGGGAGAGAGGGTGAGAGGAAGGGAATATCATTATGTTCTTTTTTTTTTTTTTTTTTAAGATTTATCTATTATTTATTTGAAAGCCAGAGTTACAGAGAGGGAGAGACGGAGAAATCTTCCATCCACTGGTTCTCTCCCTAAGTGGCCATAACAGCTGGAGCTGGGCTAGGCTAAAGCCAGGAACTAGGAGCTTCTTCCTGATGTCCCACATGGCTGCAGGGGCCCAAGCACTTGAGCCGTTTTCCACTGCCTTTCCAGGTGCATTAGCAGAGAGCTAGATCAGAAGTGGAGCAGGCAAGAACTTGTACTAGCGCCCATATGGGATAATAATCTGGTTTCTAAAAGTTGGTTTAGTTGCCATATAAATGCTATTTTAATTTTTGAAAGACCTGTATTTTTGAAATTAGAATTGCTTTATAAGTATACCAATAGGATGTCAATTTACTGGTCAATAAATAAGTATTTTCAATAGGTATAGAAGTAGTTATTCTAGTGCTGCCTTTCACTCTCAAAAAATTCACCAGCTTAGATGATAAACTACATGGTGGTCCTAATTATAGGTAAAGCAACAAGCTTCTTAAAACATTGTCTTCTTCCTAATGGCAAACTGGAATGAACAGAGGTCCAATCATTTCATGGTTTTGATAGGTATATGATGGAGGTGCCAAGTGGTAGAGAAAGTTCGGGCAAAAATGAGTCAACAAAGAAATAAAGAAGGAGGACTCATGAACATCTCCCCATACATACAAAACAGTTTATTTTTAATAAAGACATAAGAGTATTGTGCTTACCTGCAAATTTATCAGTAAGATTATTAGCACCTGGGTTCTTAAATTTGACATACTTATCTGTCCACCATGTAATCCCAGTCTTTAGCATTGGGACTTGGATATGTATAGATGAATTAAGATTATATGAAAGAATTATGGTGTCTGTAAGGAAATTAAAAATTTAGTGAGAGATGCAAGCTAGCAATTTGCCACCTTTCAAAAAATGCAGAACTATACACAGCTGAAAAATAAATCAAGGTTTTTGCAACACACCTACATGCCATAGATGCTGGAATCATAAGACCATTCTTTTTCCTGCCAAGGTTGAACCAATTATTGAAAAATACTCTTAAGCTACATTTAATGCATATTCTTTGACTGTTCTCAGGTTCCTGGCAAGGCAGAACTTACATATTAGCCAATGAAATACCATTAAGTCAGTGCTCTGGCTTAGCCAGGATAATGCATAAGGAATTTTTAAAACCCCTGAACCAAAAAACTGTCAAAAAACTCAGCTACAGAGGCCATCTTCTGGACATTTAGGTTGTTACCACCTAGGAAAGGGTATACCACAAAGATAGGAAAAGTCACCTACCATTGAACATGCTGTTGGCTATAGCGCCACAAGGAGCAAAAGGGATTTCTTTGTGGGACACTTTGAATGGAGCACAGTCCTCAACAGCCTGGAAGCAAGATGATAGAGCAGTGAGAAATGCTTCTGGTAAACTCTTATGTTGGAAATGAGACCACTAGCAGTGTTAATCAACTCGTACTGATTTATTGGCATGAACCAAGATTATGGACTGCTACCTGTTTTTCCCAGGTTTCTGGCTCACTTGCACTAAGAAATTTTTGCATTCTGAGTGTGTGTGTGTGTGTCTCTATTAGCAATACCATGCCAAAAATATCTCATTAACAATCACATGCAGAAAGGAACTTTACCTTGCTAATTATGCTATATGTCATGCTAAATCTACATGGGAATATATTTATATATTAAAACCTCTTTTTATTGAAGTATAACCTATTTAGAAAAATATACAAATCAGGAGCTTGTAACTAGATGACTTATCACAGGGAATCTATCCTGGTAAGTACCGGAATATAATTCTAAAAGAGTGTTTGTGGGGGCCGGCACTGCGGCTTACTAGGCTAATCCTTCGCCTGTGGCGCCGGCACCCCGGGTTCTAGTCCCGGTCAGGGCACCGGATTCTGTCCCGGTTGCTCCTCTTTCAGTCCAGCTCTCTGCTGTGGCCCGGGAAGGCAGTGGAGGATGGCCCAGGTGCTTGGGCCCTGCACTGGCATGAGAGACCAGGAAGAAGCACCTGGCTCCTGGCTTCGGATAGGTGCAGCGCCGGCTGTAGCAGCCATTTATTTAAAAAAAAAAAAAAAAAGTGTTTGTGGGGCGGGTGGTTTACCCAGCAGTTAAGATTTGGTTAAAATGGCTGCATCCCATATTCAGAATATCTGGGTTCAATACCAAGCTTCTGCTCCTGGCTACAGCTTTTTATCAATACAGACCCTGGGAAGTCACAGTGATTGCTCAGAAAATTGGGTTCCTGCAACCCATGTAGGAGAGCTGGATTGAGGTTTTGGCTCCCAGCTTCTATCTAAGAGTTCCTGCCTTAGGGAAGGAAACAGCAGATGGGTGCTCTTTCTCTGAATTGTCTGTCTCTATGCTTCTCAAATAAATTTTCAAAAAGAGGGAGCATGGTTGCTAAAAATACTTTGGTTAGCAGTTTCATATAAGAATGTTAACACAGAAAAGGTTTCCTCCTAGCTTTTCTTGCTATATGCTGAATATCTTTTTTTCCCTTTTTTTTTAGAGAGAGAGAAAGAGAGAGAGAGAGAGAGAGAGAGAGAGAGAGAGAGAGAGAGAGAAATAGAGGAAGAGAACCATTCTTCTATCAAGTGGTTGACTCCCCTAAATGGCTGCAATGGCCAGAGCTGGACTGATCAGGAGCCAGGAGCTTCTTTTGGGTCTTCCATGTGGGTGCAGGGGCCCAAGAACTTGGATCATCTTCTACTGCTTTCCTAGGCGCATTATCAGAGAGCTGGACTAGAAGTAGAGCAGCCAGGACTCAAACCGGTGCCCATATGGGATGCCAGCACCTCAGGGCAGCGGCTTTACCTGGTACTCCACAGAGCTGGCCCCTGAATATCATTTATCAAGGGCAAAAATTTGCAATCCTGTGTCTAGAAAGGTAAAGCTTTTATGCAATCAAATATAGCCCAATTTCCTTATTAAAGTAGGCTGGATCAAAAACCCCAATTTTAGGAAGGACAGTGGTAGATACAGAGTGAACCAGACAGAAATCAGGCACTCAAGGCCTCTCAGAATGGTGCAGGAAAGGATAACCATTGAGTTGGAAAGGGTTCACATTGAAAGTGCTCTAAAGAAGGCAAATATCCCTTCTCGACAGCAGTTACCCCGAACACCTGCCTCCTTCCATATATGCAGGAGTGAAATGAGCATTTCTGTTTTGTAAAATCTTTGTTTTTGAGTACATTTTCCATCTCCTCTTTTACTAAAAGCAAAAATCAAATTGACTGAAAGTTCTATCTCATTTAAAAAATAAGAAACAGAATATTATAGCAAATGAAATAAAGCCTTACCTTCAGATCCTTACTCAGCAGTTGACTATTACTTCTGGATAAAATATATCGATAAAGGTTCTGATAGAAGCCATACAGCTTGTAGTACATAAAAACATTACCCTGTGTAGGAGAAAAGCAAGAAGTAAGAGGAGAGTAAGAGAAATTAACTGGAATATTAGCAAATAGGGATAAAACTTTTTAATATTAGAAACTAGTACAGAAGAAATTGATGGAAACTGAATTATGTCTAAGAGTTCACAAGAGATGTACCATCCTTGGATTCTTCTTTAAAGACAATTAAGTTTCTATAAGGAAAGAAGAGAGAGAGAGAAGAGAGAGATCTTCTACCCGCTGGTTTACTCCCCAAATGGCCACAATGGCAGGGGCTGGACCAGGCTGAAGCCAGGAGCCAAGAGCTTCTTCCGGGTATCCCATGTGGGTGCTGGGACTAAGTGCTTGGGCCACCTTCTGCTGCTTTCCCAGGTGCATTAGCAGGGAGCTGGATTGGAAGTGGAGCAGTCGGGACTTGAACCTGTGCCCATATGGGATGCCGACACTGCAGGCAGAGGCTTAACCTTCCATGCCACAGTGCTGGCCCCAAAATGAATATTTCTTAATGTGAAATAGAAACCCAGGAAAGTACTAGAAATCCTAGTCTATACAGAATTATTGAAATGACTAACCTATTTTTAATGTTTTTGTTTTAAAAAATTTTGAGCATACTTAAGTGCATGATGGCATGTGGGAGGCCTAAGACCAGAACCATCTATTAGTCAGACTCCAGATGCTTTTGTCTTCATCTCTAGGATGTAGCATGTACCTGGCACATAATACTTGCTCAAGAAATAGTAAACAATTGTCTGTGGACAAAATGATGGAATAATTCACTGATCCAAAAGAAAGAAGGTGGTTTTCATCTTAGCAACAAATTGCTTTGTTGCTGTGAGTGAGATGCCTTTCTCTGTGTGCTGCCACGTGAGTCTGCCCTGTCCCAGGTTACTGTCGTGGTTCCACCTTTATGGTGACAAACGAGAGTCCTTGAAATTCTCTAGACAAACTTGATACAAATTTTACTAATAGTACATATGGAAAATGTCTATAAGGATTTAACTAATGTATCCACAGATTTTATGAACAGTATATATAGAAATGTCCAGTGAAGCTGCTTATAATTAATATACTCCATATCCCCCAAATGATGGCCTACATTCAAAAACATGAAGACTGAACCTTATTAAGTGTCCCGAGGTGTCAGGTGCCTTATTCTGTATTAGAAATACAAAAGCATTCCTTTACGGTTCCCTGAGTTCATTGATTCTTTCACGCACTGCAAAAACAACATTTTGGAAAGGATTCAGTCTCATTTCCTAATGAGAATGGACAATGAGAGCTAGGAAGAAAAGTCATAAGTGTGGCAAGTTACAGAAGACAAGAAAGGCTGAAGAGCTTGGTCACTTGCAGGAGAAATATCTTGAAATACTGAAAAGAGGCTGACCGTGAGAGTGTGGCAGGCTGTGATCTGATCAAGAGTGTTGGCTTGAAGGGGAACAGGCCAGGTGGAGTGGGAATGACTGATCACATCTCCTCATCCAAAGAGGGAACTTTTCTTATTGACCCATGACTATGGAGAATATGAAATCCACAGAATGGAATGTGCTATACATTTTCTTGGAAGTCAGGGAGAGAATTCCATTTAACCAGTTATATATTCACATAAATGACAAAAATAAACAGGCAGAGAACATTTGTCACTTTAGGGACTGGAGTGTTTTAATAGCCTCTTTACAATAATTCTTTGTCCAAGATTTAGCTTAACAAGGACTGTAACATCATCATTTTTTAAAATCATTCCTGGAGGCACAATTCACTGTAAATTTAATGGCACTTTGTGCAGGATTCGTTTGTTTAAGACAGAGTGGATTCATTACCTAGGTTGCAGTATGTGTTATGTGTAGGAACTCGTGGCTAAAGGCCCTGTGGCTGCCCTAAGGAGTTTAGTTGGGTTTTTATGAGAAACCAACCTCTGACCAAAAGGAATGGTTAGCAGCTGGTAACACTTCATTTACCTTTAGGAGTTTGAAGGATACACAAATGGGAATTGGAGCCCTTTAAGGTTTTATCTTTCAGATTTTTTCTTCAAAAATTTAAGCTTTGTGAGTCCTCATGAAGAAAGGGAGGAAGGAAAGAAAAGAGGAAGGAGGTAGTTCAAGGAAGGAACTAGAAAGAGAGGAGAAAGGGGACTGCAATGAATTTCTAAAGTTTCAGCAAGACTGGGGGCCGGCACTGTGGCGTAGCAGGTAAAGCTGCTCCCTGCAGTGTTGGCATCCCATATGGGTGCTGGTTCGAGTCCTGGCTGCTCCACTTCAGATCCGGCTCTCTGCTATGGCTGGGAAAGCAGTAGAAAATGGCTCAAGTCCTTGGGCCCCTGCACCCACGTGGGAGACCTGGAAGAAGCTCCTGGTTCCTGGCTTCTGATTGGCACAGTTCCAGCCGTTGGGGCCATCTGGGTAGTGAACCATCTGGGTAGTGTACCAGAGACCTCTCTCCCTCTCTGCCTCTGCCTTTCAAACAAATAAATCTTTAAGAAAAAAAAGGTTCAGCAAGACTGACAAGAAGTCCCAAAGACAGCCATCAGGAGAGTGTCCTCTCCCAGGAAGGAGACTATGTCTGTATCCTGGGTACATTCAGCTATGACTGGCATGGCTGTGGGAAGCATGGTCTTGGTGCAAACATAATGACTTCAGAGCGCAGCTGCTAGGGCCATCCCTGCAATAGATCTGATAGGAGCCTTTCCATGCCCTCCACTATCTTACCTGGTAGTCAAGACTGCATCCAATGAAAAATGTTTCCTTTAACCCCTTCAAATGCCATTCAAGGTCCTGCTGTCTCCTCTGCACCCACACCCACTCTCTCAGTGTTCCCTTCATAGATGGCACTGCATGGGATGAACTAGGTCCAGGCAGGCCTTCTCGTAAGCTATGTACTGACAATTCTGCCTCACCTAGTTCCAAACCAGATTCATCAGCATCTCTTGAAAATTCCTCTTCATTTTCCTCCCTCACTCCCTCATTCCTTCCTTCTCTCTTCCCCAAGGGTCAGAGCTGTTTTGTGGGCTGACAGCTTTCCCAGGCTCCTCCTGCTCCCTCCTCATTCTTCCTCACAGGTGTTCCCTCAATAAATCTCCTGCATGTCTAATCCTGTCTTGGCACTGGCTTCTAGAGGACCTGGACAAACATGAGACTAATCAGTCCAAGGGTAGGGACTTTTTATTTTTTTTGGCATCTCTAACAATGCCTGACAACTAGACCAAGAGTTTCCTTAGGGATTAGGCAGTTGCATATTTAGAATGACCTGGGGTGAGGGAAGGGAGCAGGAGGGTCCCGTCAGGTTTGAGGACCATGACACTAACTTACTGTGTGACCTTCACCAACTCACTTAACCTCTCAGCCTATTCATTTTTCTCAGTGTTAGATGAGTGGTTAACTTAAATAATTTCTGTACAGTGCCCTCTTGGAGTAGAATGATTGATGATGAGAATTATATTACAAAATTGGGTAGGTAAAGAGTCCTGAAACTTAGAAACAAAGGAGAACAATACAAAACAAAAAACAAAAAAGGAAAGAATAAACTCAACAATTTATAAGATCTGTCACCCCCACAGTGCTTTATTGTCTTTGTTTTCAGTTTCATAAGGCATTTTCTAGAAATCATGAACTTACTGCTGAGTGTTGAATAGGAGTCAGCATAAAGTCAGCTGGAGTTGCTTGAATTTCACTTACCTCCATACTCTTTGCAAGGACAAAGGGAATAGAGCAGGTGCATATTTTGTTGTGATTAAAGGCATCTTCCCGCAGTTTTGCACAATTTCCACATGTTTTTGTGTAATTAATCTGTCAACCAGGGTAAAGAAAAATTATTAAAAAGTTAGATGAGTACATATGTTAAAATTCAAGCCTGGGCCTATCAAAGTCTTCAACCTGTCTTGGACAAGGAGTCTGGGACATGAGTGAGGGGCAGCCCTCTGTGTAGCACAAGAATGTGGGGGTGCTCGAGAGGAGTGAGCTTTCTTACAGTCTGTCTTTTTGGAACAGGCAGCATTTTGCCATAGGCTGGGAGTGTGGTTTCTGCTGAATCCTTAGGTATCCTGTTGCAATGGAACCTAGCCCTAGTGATCATCAGGCGGTGTCACTAGAAAATGATTCATGAGAACTGGGCTCACGGCCGGAGTCTAAGCAGCTTTATGTGGAAGTCACTTCACTGATTTTCCATTTTGTTGCTGGAAAATATTTATACTAATGAGTGAGTCAACATGGCATCTCGAGGAAGTTATTAAAAAAATGACCAAACAGAAGGGGAAAAAGGCATTTCTAAAGTGTAAGATTGTTGATGCATGTTGAAAAATACTGAGTTCAAAATATTGTTGCTTTGTGCATTTAAAAATGAAATTTTGTGGAAAATGAACTCCCTTAAAGTGTGGGGTCCTAGGTGGGTGACTCCAGTGTGCCCTCACTGAGGCCTTGGGTTCTGTGAGATGCAGCTGGGAGAGGAGAAGGAGGGGATGCTCGGGGAGGGGGGCACAGGGCCTGCACCCCCTATCTACGGGCATGCTTGTCACAGGGGCTCAGGGGCTGTCACGGGGTGCTGCCTGGCTGGGTATGCTTTTCTCTCTGTGCTAAGGAGGAAGCAAGTAAGATTATAGGAGTGCAGAGTATAGATAAGCACCAAAATGAGAGAGGGCATACTTCAACTCCTGGGTATAATAAGATTTACATTTCTTTGTATATAAAACTAACAAGACAGAAGAAATTTTGAATTGTTGAAAAGTTACTGAAGGTTTTGAAGTCTAGATATCAAGTCGGAACACTAAATTAAAAATTAGTGAAAAGGCTACTACTTGTTGCTTAAAGCATTCTTTTAAAAAATATTTATTTATTTGAAAGGAAGAGTGACAGAATGAAAGGGAGGTAGAGAGAGGGAGATCAAGATCTTCCATCTACTGGCTGGCTTTCCAAATGGCTGCAGTGAGCAGGGCTGGTTTAGGCCAAAGCCGGAAACCTGAAACTCCACTTGGTCTTGAATGTGGGTGGCGCACTAGTAGGGAGGCACACTTTCCAGCATACCAGTAAGGAGCTGGATCAGAAGTGGGAAAGCTGGGACTCGAACTGCTGCTCTGACATAGGATGCTGGCATTGCAGGTGCTAGCCTAGCCTGCTGTGTCATAGTTTTGGCCCCTAAAAATTCTTTAAATACATAGCCAGGCTTGAACAAATTTGAGCAAATACTTATGTCTTTGCTCTTTGCAGAAATCACAATACAGTTTATAAAAAGCACTGAAGAAGAGGGTTGTATCCTCAGCACTCTGGCCTCAGAATCAGCCCTAAAGGCATTCGGATCCGGCTGAAAAGCCCATGAGAGTATTTCAGGCATGGAAAGCCAAGACACTCTGGCAAAAAAAACCACAAACCTAAATGAAAGATCTCTGTGAGTGAGATCCCAGTGGAAAGAACAGGTCTTCAAAGAAGGAGGTACCTTTCTCTGAAGGGAGGAGAGAACCTCCACTTTGACTATGACCTTGTCTAAACAAGATAAGAGTCGGAGAACTCAAAAGGCTTCCATAGCCTTGGAAACTCATGACTGGTGCATAGGGAGATTACTGATGCCATAAACAGGAGTGTCAATTGGTAAAGTCAACAACAGGAGTCACTGTGCACTTACTCCTCATGTAGGATCTCTGTCCTTAATGTGCTGTACATTGAGATTTAGTGCTATAACGAGTACTCAAACAGTATATTTCACTTTGTGTTTCTATGGGGGTGCAAACTGTTGAAATCTTTACTTAATGTATACTAAACTGATCTTCTGTAAAAAAAAAAAAAAAAGAAATTATCAATTCCCAACTTGACTCTCACTGGGATTAAACATGACAATAGGTCTGATCTGATTTCATCATCATTTAAAAAATCATCTATTATTTTTCACTTTATGTTTCTGTGTGGGAGCAAACTGTTGAAATCTTCACTTAATGTATGCTAACCTGATCTTCTGTATATAAAGAGAATCGAAAATGAATCTTGATGTGAATGGAAGGGGAGAGGGAGTGGGAAAGGGGAGGGTTGCGGGTGGGAGGGACGTTATGGGGGGGAAGCCATTGTAATCCATAAGCTGTACTTTGGAAATTTATATTCATTAAATAAAAGTTAAAAAAAAAAAAAGAGGGTTGTATCCTAATTGAGAGAAACACATTCATCTGCGACTGAGGAAGTGGGCAGGGGCTCTAGTTCAGCCCATTCCTGACCTTGAGTTAAGTACTTCACCCCCAGGTCCCACATCTTGCTCATCAGCTTCATTTCAGAAAGCAGCTAATCAGTCTGGGCAGTAACTCTAGTAGTGAACATTCTACGTCATTGCTTCCTGTTGTGAGTTCTACCAATGTAGATAAGAAAAATCTTTCATCATAAAAGAATTTTTGAGTATATGAGATCTATGGTACTTTTTTAACACTAAAAATTTTGATGATGAAAATACATTCCTGATCTACTTGTCTACATAATGCCAATTTGCTGTGTGAGGGGTGTTTTAAACCTGTAGCTATAAAACAGAGCAGAGATCAGAGCCTGCTCACCACAGCATTTTGTATTACCAGTCTTGCTTAAAGTGAACTGCAAAGAAGGCCCACTGCTGTGGTGCCTGGGGCTGGAGGAGAAGAGGAAAAGTCAACCCAGAACTCTTCTACTAGGTACTTGACCACACTGGCCTGGAGGCTGCAAACCATTTCTATGTGCAAATGAAGATGGTACTCTCTGGGTGGTTTCTGGTTTTCTTTATAAAAGTACATGTTAGAAGCAATCCAATTTGAAGCTAGTGGAAAAAAAAGTCAATTGGAGAATATTCTTAGATTTCAGGAGATAAAAAGCATTCAATCAACAGTTGTTTGCCTTTAGAGTGGCCTTAGCAAATAAGCCGTGATGGAGCAAGGTCACCCTCTAGTGCATGAGGTCCATCAACCAGCAATGGCTGGCTGTCAGTGAAGGCTGCACTACACAATAGGTGAGGGTAACTGGAATGGGGGAAAGCATGGGAGGAAGGACTAGAAAGGGATCAGTGAAAAGAAAAGTAGAAAAGCAAATAGGATGAGCTGTTTGTGGAATGTACACTCACATCTACGCCCATGACTTAGCTCTCCGCTTCAGCAAGGCAAGCTTCATTTTCTCCTGTGTTTACCTCTGCCACTTGCTGGGGTCCCAAGAGAGCTTACCTATTGCCCTGGAGGACTGAAAGTGAGTAGGGGTACTTCATTCCCAGAGAAATACAGTGCTTGCAGCTGGGAGGGAGCAGAAAATGGAAATGGAGAAGGACTAGAGCAGCCGTGTGCGTTGGGAGGAGAAGCAAGACCTGAAATGATCTTTTCCTCTTTGAAGTCTGCACTGTTTGTTGTCTCCCATTCTTCCCATAAGTGCATGTCCATCCCATACTGGGAAATGTGCAAGGAAGGGGTGGGCCATGGAGTTCTCTGCTCTCATCACACTCTTTTTTACCTGTTCTATCATTAGCTTAACGAGGGCTGGATTAAACTCTTACTCATCTTACTGATCTGCACACCTAACAGAAACCTTGGGCACTTTCAGACACACAGAAATGTTACATGTACAGACATGATCTCATATTGTAATTCTGCCAACAACCATGTGGGTAGGAAAGAGGTTGGCTCTCCATGGTTGCTTTTAGAGTCCCCTCCCCAGGCCACCTTTAGGGATTCTTCACCCTCCAAACACTTGCTAATCAAATTGGCAAAAAGGGTTGTGTCTGAGGGGTGTGCCCTTTGTGTCAGCTTTTCTCGCTGAGTAGAACTTGATTTGCTTTGCCAAGTATCCTTATGATGCCAGAAAGACATGGGATCTTGCTTTCCTAGATCTCAACAGGAGGGCGATTATTTGCAAAGTGAAATACACAATGCTTGAAATTCAGGGGACAAAATTGAAGATGTGTATCTTTGGCTCCTCATGCTTGTCAGTCTGATGCATGGCTCTCTAGCAATCATTTAGCCTTGCCATTCCTTTCCCTATGTCTATATGATGCTGGCTCATCCCTTTGGCTGCATAAAATGCTTCTGACCCTGCCAAACTATTGTACAGAAATATAGCTAAGTGGCCCAGTGTGTCAGCAACTGTCCTCAAGCAGTAGGGATGACTATGCCACCATATACAAGCTGTGTCACCATCAGCCCCTGAAGAGGGATATTCATTTTATGTAGTTCCCTGGTGAGGGCCGGCCTCTGTTCTCAGACTGACCATTCCCATTTATGGTCCTACAGGTGAAACATTTTAGAAACTACAATAACAAGGTAAGATGGGACAAACCTCTACTTTCTGGATACTCTTTGCAGACAATATGAGGAAGATGCCCATGAAAAGGCAGAATACTCCTGAGGCAAAAAAGATGGAGAAGACCATGGTAGCTGAGAAGTGTAGCTGGTAGGCAGGCAACTGTTGCTGCTTCATTGCCGTGATGTCTGGCAGTCTGGACAACTGAAGTCGGGATCTCCTCTCCATTTTGGTCCTGTGGATAACTCAGATATACTTTGGGGATATTTAGAACATTCCTACTCATAGTAATACCACATCATAATATGTTAAAGGAAGAATTAGAAGAACTTTCTTTTGAAGTTGTTTAGTCTTTCTAATTGCTGGAATTAGTCTGTAACCAGACCTAACGTTCACAGGAACACAGTTCTCTTCCAGAAGCCATTGTTAGGTGTTGTTTTACTTATGCTCAAAAAAAACCTGTTGTGATAAATGAGAGAGAGACAAATGAGAGTTCTCAGCAAGATCTGTGAAAATTGACATGCGGTGACACTTGGAAGCAGTGATGATGTGATATTTCTGGGATTTGGTGACTAACTCAAGGCAAGTCCTTCCTGAAAGGGGAAAATGGATTTATCTTTAGGAACTTGCTTAAATCTTTGGAGATTTATTAAAAAAAACCTAGAAGTTAGGGCTGTCCACTTTTTTCCAAATGTAACTGTCACAAACATGAAATTAACTAAATTGGAAAAATGCTTTCAGATTACAGATAACTGCAATTTGTGATAATTAGGAAGGGAGATGCAAACAGGGAACTGTAGAACACAGATGTTTAACCTCAACAGCTTCCAATTTTTTATGCTAGAAAACAGCAATTAAAAAAAATATCCTCCTAACCTTTCCCAAATGCATGCTTTGGAGTAGCCCAAATGAGGTAAGAGAAAGAAAAGGGAAGAGAATAGTTAAATATTCAACACTGCAATATAGTATTTGGTTTGGTTTGGGTTTTTATCATTTGTTGGTAATCTACCACACTCATTACTTATTTTTAAAATTTTTATTTGGCAGGTAGAGTTACAGACAGAGAGAGAGAGAAAGGTCTTCCTTCCATTGATTCACTCCCCAAATGGCTGCTACAGCTGGTGCTGCGCCGATCCGAAGCCAGGTGCTTCTTCCTGGTCTCTCATGCGGGTGCAGGGGCCCAAGCACTTGGGCCATCCTCCACTGCCCTCCAGGGCCACAGCAGAGAGCTCGAGTGGAAGAGGAGCAGCTGGAACTAGAACCTGATGCCCATATGGGATGCCTGCGCCGCAGGCGGAGGATTAACCAAGTGAGCCACAGCACCAGCCCCAATAATTACTTCTTTAAAAACTGACATTTAGGATATAGAATTAGGACTTTGGAAATTAAGCACATACGAATTTCTAATCTTGTCTTTTTTTGAACATTATGCAGAAGCCATGCTGGCCTATTTTTGTAGCAAAGACAGAGATTACTTTGGCAAATGTACCTAGTTTAAAAGAACACAAAATAAATGCGTATACTTACTTTATGAGGTTTCCAACTCAGGGTCAAAGTTTCCCACTCACAAAATTGGAAAAAGAAAAGTAGCAGGCTAGGACTTTGGGCAGTAACTGTGGGAGGCTCCATATGATCAGGGTTCCCTATTTACCTGGCTAGGGACATTACTGGGAATCTGAGCTTACATTGAGGACTGCACAGATCTTTTGTGTGGTTCTTGTGGCAGAGCAGACAAATAATATCTCCACTGTGGCTAGCACCCAGGCAAAGGTCTCCTTTGAGGAGAGGAGCTCAGCTGAGTCTACGCCAACTGACAAGAACAAATATCCCCTCTTATTAAAAAAAGAGAGAGAGATTTATGACATCAAACATTGGTGTGTCACCTTGGAGCACTGAACAGAGCTACTTGGCCACACACATCACATGCCTCTAGGTATTCCTTGAAAGTAGACACTCCACTAACCCACACAGACATAGTCCAAAGATAAAAGCCACCACAGTGAAAAAAGAAAGAAACCAATGAATATCTACACAAATGCCAAATAACAAATGCATCAATTCAAGAAACAAGAATAAGGAAGACAACATGACACCCCCAAAAGAACATAACACTTCAATACTAGATTGTGAAGATGATGAGATTGAAGAAATGTCAGAAATGGAATTAAAAAAATTAATCATAGGATTACTTAGTAATCAGAAGTAATGCATGAACTAATGAAATCTATATATGACATGAAAGAAAGTTTCTCCCACAAAACTGAGAACTTAATGAGAAATCAATGTGAACTATCTGAAATGAAGAATTCAATAGAACAACAACAAAAAAATACAGTGGAAAGCCTTAACAACAGAATGTGTGAAGCAGAAGAAAGAATATCTGACTTGGAAGACAAAGCACAGGAAATTATACAGTTAGACCAAAGACAAGAAGAAGAAATTAGAAAACTAAAAAACACTGTTGGTAATCTACCAGATACTATCAAATGACCCAACATATGGGTTCTAGGAATTCCTGAAGGTATGGAAAAAAAGAAAGGATTAAAAAGCCTTTTTTTTTTTTTTGTGAAATAATAACAGAAAACTTGCTTAATTTTGGAGAAAGAAAGGGACATCCAAATACAGGAAACACAAAAAAACTAATAGACATGACCAGAAAAATCTTCACCATGACACATTGTAATCAAACTCACCACAGTAAAACACAAAGAAAAGATTCTAAAATGTGCATGAGAGAAATGCCAGATTACTTTCAGAGGATCTCCAATTAGATCACAGTGGCCTTCTCATCAGAAACCCTACAGGGTAGGAGAGAATGATGAGATATATTCCAAGTCTTAGGAGAAAAGGACTGTCAACCTAGAATACTATACCCTGCAAAGCTCTCATTTATGAATGAAGGTGAAATAAAGATCTTCCATGACAAACAGAAATTGAAAGAATTTGTCACCACCCATCCAGCCCTACGGATGATGTTTAATGATGTGCTACACACAGAAACACGGTCATCTCTACAGAATGTAAAGGAAGGAAATCTCCCAGTAAAAGTACAAAGGAAATTGAAAGTAAAAAATGGGAATATTTTTGGAAAAATGGCAGGGTAAAGTCGTCACTTATCAATAGTCATGTTGAATGTAAATGGCCTCAGTTCTCCAGCATCAAATTGAGAAGTTTCTTTACTTCAAAAGATACAGTCAGGAAAGTGAAGAGACAACTGACAGAATGGGAAAAAAATATTTGCAAACTATGCAACAGATAAAGGGTTGATAACCAGAATCTACAAAAAGATCAAGAACTCCACAACATCAAAACAAACAACCCACTTAAGAGATGGGCCAAGGATCTCAATAGACATTTTTCAAAAGAGGAAATCCAAAGGACTAACAGACACATGAAAAAATGTTCAAGATCACTAGCAATCAGGGAAATGCAAACCAAAACCACAATGAGGTTTCACCTAACCCTGGTTAGAATGGCTCACATTCAGAAATCTACCAACAACAGATGCTGGCGAGGATGTGGGGAAAAAGGGACACTAACCCACTGTTGGTGGGAATGCAAACTGGTTAAGCCACTATGGAAGGCAGTCTGGAGATTGCTCAGAAACCTGAGTATAACCCTAACATACAACCCAGCCATCACACTCCTTGGAATTTACCCAAAGGAAATGAAATTGGCAAACAAACAAGCTGTCTGCACATTAATGTTTATTGCAGCTCAATTCACAATAGCTAAGACCTGGAACCAACACAAATGCCCATCAACAGTAGATTGGATAAAGAAATTATGGGACATGTACTCTATAGAATACTATACAGCAGTCAAAAACAATGAAATCCGGTCATTTGCAACAAGGTGGAGGAATCTGGAAAACATAATGCTGAGTGAACTAAGCCAGTCCCAAAGGGACAAATATCATATGTTCTCCCTGATCGGTGACAACTAACTGAGCACCAAAGGGGAAACCTGTTGAAGTGAAATGGACACTATGAGAAACAGTGACTTGATCAGCTCTTGTCCTGACTGTTGATGTACAATGTAATACTTTATCCATTTTAGTACTATTGGTTGAACTCTGTAATTAACACACAATTATTCTTAGGTGTTTAAATTTTAACTGAAAAGTGATCCCTGTTAAATATAAGAGTGGGAATAAGAGAGGGAGGAGATGTACAATTTGGGACATGCTCAATCGGACTTGCCCCAAATGGTGGAGTTAAATGTGCCAGGGGATTCCAATACATTCCCATCAAGGTGGCATGTACCAATGCCATCTCACTAGTCCAAGTGATCAACTTCAGTTCACAATTGATCACACTGATAGGTCTAAGAGTCAAAGGGATCACACAAAAAGACTAGTGTCTGCTAATACTAACTGATAGAATCAAAAAGGGAGAGAACGATCCAACATGGGAAGTGGGATACATAGCAGACTCACAGAATGGCAGATGTCCTAAATAGCATTCTGGCCTCAGAATCAGCCCTTAAGGCTTTCAGATATGGCTGAAGAGCCCATGAGAGTATTTTAGGCATGGAAAGCCAACACACTCTGGGAAAAAAAAAAAAAAAAAAAAAAAAAAAAAAAAAAAAAAAAAACGACGACGTAAATGAAAAGTCTCTGCGAGTGAGATCCCAGTGGAAAGAATGGGGCCATCAAAGGAGGTACCTTTCTTTGAAGGGAGGAGAGAACTTCCACTTTGACTATGACCCTGTCGGAATAAGATCGAAGTCGGCGAACCAAAAGGCTTCCATAGCCTTGGCAACTCATGATTAGAGCCTAGGGAGATTACTGACGCCACAAACAAGAGTGTCAATTTGTTAAGTCAACAACAGGAGTCACTGTGTACTTACTTCTCATGTGGGATCTGTCCTTAGTGTGTTGTCCAATGTGAAGTAATGCTATAACTAGTACTCAAACAGTATTTTTACACTTTGTGTTTCTGTGTGGGTGCAAACTGATGAAATCTTTACTTAATATATACTAAATCGACCTTCTGTATATAAAGAGAATTGAAAATGAATCTTGATGTGAATGGAATTGGAGAGGGAGTGGAGATGGGAGGGGTGTGAGTGGGCGGGAAATTATGGGGGGGGGGAGCCAATGTAACCCATAAACTGTACTTTGGAAATTTATATTTACTAAATAAAAAAAAGAACAAAAAAGAACTTCAAAGATCAAATCCATTCACAATAGGTACAAAAAAACTTCAAATACCTTGGAATACATTTAATCAAGATTGCCAAAGATCTCTATGAAGAGAAGTACAAAACATTAAAGAAAAAATAGAAGAAGATACAAAAAAAAAAATGGAAAAATCTTTCATGATCCTGGATTGGAAGAATCAATATCACCAAACTGTCCATTCTTCTGAAAGCAATACCAATCAAAATACCAAAAACCTTCTTCTCAGATCTAGAAAAAAATATTGCTGAAATTCATATGGAAACACTGGAGACCCCAAATAGCTAAAGCAATCTTATACAACAAAGCCAGAGGTATCACAAGACCAAATTTCAGGACAGATTACAAGGCAGTTTTAAATTTTTTAAAATTTTTTTTTTATTATTTTGATAGGCAGAGTGGACAGTGAGAGATAGACAGAGAGAAAGGTCTTCCTTTGCTGTTGGTTTACCCTCCAATGGCCGCTGCAGCCGGCGTGCTGCGGCCGGCGCACCGCGCTGATCCAAAGGCAGGAGCCAGGTGCTTCTCCTGGTCTCCCATGCCAGTGCAGGGCCCAAGCACTTGGACCATCCTGCACTGCACTCCCGGGCCACAGCAGAGAGCTGGCGTGGAAGAGGGGCAACCGGGACAGAATCCGGCGCCCTGACTGGGACTAGAATCGGGTGTGCCAGCGCCGCAGGTGGAGGATTAGCCTATTGAGCCGCGGTGCCGGCACAAGGCAGTTTTAATCAAAGCAGCCTGGTACTGGTACAAAAACAGCTAGAGCGAGCAATGGAACAGAATAGAAATTTCAGAAGTCAACCTAAGCATCTATAACCAACTTATATTTGACCAACTAACTAAAACCAATTCCTGGAGCAAGGACAGTCTCTTTAACAAATGGTGCTGGGAAAACTTGATCTCCACATGCAGAAGTATGAAGCAGGACCCCACCTCACACCTTACACAAAAATCCATTAAAAATGGATTAAAGCCTAAATCTATGACCTGATAGCATCAAATCACTAGAGAACATTGGGGAAACCCTGCAAGATATTGGCACAGGCAAAAAATTCTTGGAAAAGACCCAAGAAACACTGACAATCAAAGCCAAAATTAACAAATGGGATTTCATGAAATTGAGAATTTTCTGTACTGCAAAAGAAAGTGTAGAGCTAACTGACAGAATGGGAGAAATTATTTGCAAACTATACAACTGATAAAGGATTAATAACCAGCATATATAAAGAGATCAAGAAACTCCACAAAAACAAAACAAACAACCCACTTAAGAGATGGGCCAAGGATCTCAATAGACATTTTTCAAAAGAGGAAATCCAAATGGCCAACAGACACATGAAAAAATGTTCAGGATCATTAGCCATCAGGAAAATGCAAATCAAAACCACAATGAGGTTTTACCTCACCCTGGTTAGAATGGCTCACATTCAGAAATCTACCAACAACAGATGCTGGCGAGGATGTGGGGAAAAAGGGACACTAACCCACTGTTGGTGGGAATGTAAACTGGTAAAACCACTATGGAAGACAGTTTGGAGATACCTCAGAAATCTGAATATAGACCAACCATATGACACAGCCATCCCACTCCTGGGAATTTACCCAAGAAATCAGCAAATAAAAGAGTTATTTGCACCCCCATGTTTATTGCAGCTCAATTCACAATAGCTAAGACATGGAATCAACCTAAACGCCCATCAACTGAAGACTGGATAAAGAAATTATGGGATATGTATTTTGTGGAATACTACAGTGATAAAAAAATGAAATCCAGGGGCTAGCACTGAGGTGCAGTGGGTTAACACCATGGCCTGAAGGGCTGGCATCCCATATGGGCACCGGTTTGAGACCCGGCTGCTCCACTTCCAATCCAGCTCTCTGCTATGGCCCGGGGAAGCAGTAGAATATGGCCCAAGTCCTTGGGGCCCTGCACCCACATAGGAGACCCAGAAGAAGCTCCTGGCTCCCGGCTTCAGATCAGCACAGCTCTGGCCATTGCAGCCAGCTGAGGAGTGAACCAGTGGATGGAAGAACCTCTCTCTCTCTCTCTGACTCTCCTTCTCTGTGTAACTCTTTCAAATAAATAAATAAATCTTTTTTAAAATGTTAACGTGATCATATAGGTAGGATTAAGTATTAAAGGGATTATATAAATAAGATCAAGTGTCTAGTAATAATAATAGATAGAATTAAAAAAGGAGAGGATATTCCAACATGGAAAGGAGTCCATACAGCAGACTCATAGAATGACTCACTTTAAATAGCACTACAAACTCAGAATCAGCCCTTAAGGCATTCTAGTCTGGCTGAAAACCCATGAGAGCATTTCAGGCATAAAAAGCCATGACACTGTGTCAAAAAATGTCCTACATGAAGGATCTCTATGAGAGATCCCAGTGGAAAGAAGTGGCCATCAAAGAAAGATGTACCTTTCTTTGAAGGGAGGAGAGAACATCCACATTATCTTATGGCCTTGTCTACATACTGACAGAGATTGTGGATTCAGAAGGATTCCATAGCCTTGGCAGGTCATATCAAGAGCCTCGGGTGATCACTGACATCATACATGAGTGGAATTTGTTAAATTAACAATGGGAGTCACTGTGCACTTACTTCCCATGCAGGACTTCTGTCCTCAATGAGTTGTATTATGAGAATTGTAAAATATGTTTTCAAACAGTTTTGTGTGTATGTGTGTGTGTGTGTGTGTGCAAATTGTTGAAATCTTTACTTAAAAATAGAGTTGGTCTTCTGTGTATAAAGTTAACTGAAAATGAATCTTAATGGAGAGTGGGACTGGGAATGGTAGAGGGAGGAGGAAGAGGAGTGGGAGTGGGGATGGGAGGGCGGGTATGGTGCTAAGAATCACTGTATTCCTAAAGCTGTACTTATGAAATTTGTACTCATTAAATAAAAGGCTTCATGGGGCGGGGGAGAAAAATACCAATGGGAATGCTCAGGCTGCCCTTAGAACCTGACATGGAGGTAGTGACTAGTGCAGCTACTGTTATCAGACAGCCTTCTATGAGAAGATGGCAACATAGTTTCTGAGAAAACCATTTGTTTTACTAAATAAACATGGTTGAGAACTTGGTTTTAAAAGGCAGTACCAGGCTATTGGAGTAGATTGTATTTACAGGGTTGGCCTACAACATGAAAAACTTGTTCTAACACTGGTTGGGATTATATTACATCGATATTGCCATACAAAAGGGTCATTTCAATAACAAACCAGTAACACCAGTATTTCCTAGGCTTTTAAAAAAGAATAAAATCAAACTAACCCAAATTTCAAACTAAAAGGAGCTTTATGTGTCCTCTACAGAAACAGAACTAATCGTGATTTTTAGGTATGTAAATTTTTACATAGAAATATTATAAGGAATGGGCTCACAGAGTTATGGAGGCTGACAAGTCTCAAATCTGCAGAGCTGATGTCCCAGTGCAAGTCTGAAGGCCAAGAGGCTGTGCAGAACCAGGATGTACTGATGTGTCAGTTAGGAGCCTATCCAGGCAGGAGAATTCTCTCACTCGGGGGAAGGGCAGCCTTTGATTCTATTCAGGCCTTCAACTGAAAACATGAGGACCACTCAAATTGTGGAAGGTGATCTATTTTACTCAAGTTCTCCCATTTATGTTAACTTCATCCACAAACATCCTCAAGAATGTGGCCTGTGAAGTTGCCACATTAAAATTAGCCATCTAAAATAGTAAATGCAGACATTTCTAGGGTAACATTCTTGAGATATCCAGGTATACATTTTATAGGCACTTTTATATTCACCTATTTCTCCTTTCTAACAAATTTACATCATGTGCTTTGTTTCTCAGTATCTGTAGAGCAGGATTTCTCAGCCTTGGCACTATTAACATTTTGGGGCAGAAACTGCTTTGTTGTGGTGACTTGCATATAGAGATTGTAGAATTTTTAACCACTTCCCTGGCTGATACTCACTTAATACTGTCACAATCCACCAAGTTGATGCCAGTAGTAGTTGCGACACAACTCTCCTTAGTTGTGACAAACGTTATTTCCAGCGATTGGAAGTGTTCCCTGTGGGGCAAAATCACCCATTGGAGAACCACTTTTCAAGTGCAATCAAAACAATTTGTTGGCAGCTGCTGTGCTGTGGTATCATTAGAAATTTTAAAGAGCAATTTTAAAAATTCTTGCCTTCATTTTTTGTTAACCACTGTATAGATAGTTTTATTAGGCACATTTTGTTTATTTGGGATTGTCTCGTATTTCAATGTCTTTTTCCTATTAAGTACTGGATATAAACACACTATATAACAGTGTAGGTCCAGCATGGCTGAGAAAGAACTTCTAAGATCAATCTCATTCACAATTACTACAAAAAAATTTAAATACCTTGGAATAAATTTAAACAACGCTGTCAGAGATCTCTACAATGAAAATTACAAAACATTAAAGAAAAAAATAGAAGACACAATCAAAAAATGGAGAAATCTTCAATGCTCATGGATTGGAAGAATCAATATCATCAAAATGTCCATGCTACCAAAGCAATTTACAGATTCAATGCAATCCTAATTAAACTACCAAGGACATTCTTCTCTGATCTAGAAAAAGAATGCAAAACTCCAAATGGAAACACAAGGGACCCCAAATAACTAAAGAAATCTTAACAAAAATAAAGCTGGAGGCATCACAATACCAGATTTCAAGACATACTACAGGACAGTTATAATCAAAAAGGCCTGGTACTGGCACAAAAACAGATGTGTAGAACCACAGAATAGAAACTCCAGAAATCAATCCACACATCTGTAACCAATTTATCTTTGACAAAGGAGCTAAAATCAATCCCTGGAGCAAGGACAGTCTATTCAGCAAATGGTGCTGGGAAAACTGGATCTCTCATGCAGAAGTATGAAACTCAACCCCTATCTTAAACCTTATACAAAAATCCACTCAAAATGGATCAAATACCTAAATTATGACCCAATACCATCAAATTACTAGAGAACATTGGGGAAACTCTGCATTGGCATAGGCAAAGACTTCTTGGAAGAGACAAAAAAAAAAACAAAAAAAAAAAACAAAAAACAAAAAAACAAAAAAAAAAAACCACTGACAAATGGTATTAACAAGCTGAGATGCTTCTGCACTGCAAAGGGAACACAGAGCAAAGTGAAGAGACAACTGACAGAATGGGAAAAATTATTTGCAAATTACACAACTGATAAAGATTAATATCCAAACTCTATAAAGAGCTCAAGAAACTCAACAACAACAAAATAAACAATGCAGTTAAGAAATGGGAAAGTGGGGTGGGCAATGTGGTGTAGCGGGTAAAGCCACCTCATGCAGTGCTGGCGTCCCACATGGGTACTGGTTTGAGTCCTGGCTGCTCCACTTCTGATCCAGCTCTTTGCTATGACCTGGGAGAGCAGAAGATGGCCCAAGTGCTTGGGCCCCTGCACCCCTGTGGGAGACATGGAAGAATCTCCTGGCTCCTGACTTTGTACAGGTGCAGTACCAGCCATTACTGCTATTTGGGGAGTGAACCAGTGAGCTGGAAGACCTCTCTCTCTCTCTGCCTCTGTACCTCTGCCTTTCAAATAAATAAATGAATATTTAAAAAATGGGCAAAGGACTTAAAAAGCCATTTTTCAGGAGAAGAAATTGAAATGGCCAACAAACACTTGAAAAAATGCTCAGGATCACTAGCCACCAGGTAAATGCAAATCAAAACCACAATGAGGTTTCACCTCACCCCAGTTAGAATGGCTCTCAAACAGAAATCAATAAACAATAAATACTGGCAAGGATGTGGGGAGAAAGGTATCCTAATCCACTGTTGGTGGGAATGTAAACTGGTGCAGCCATTGTGGAAGAAAGTATGAAGATACCTCAGAAATCTGAGTATAGACCTACCACATGACCCAGCTATCCCGCTCCAGGAAATTTACCCAAAGGAAAAGAAATCAGCATATGAAAGAGTTATCTGTAACCCCATGTTCACTGCATCTCAATTTGCAATACTTAGAATATGGAATCAACCCAGATGTCCAACTGAAGACTGGATAAAGAAATTGTGGTATATTTACACTATGGAATACTATACAGTAGTTAAAAAAACGAAATCCTTTCTTTTGCAACACAATGGGTGCAACTGGAATCCATTATACTTAGTGAAATAAGCCAATCCCAAAAAGTCAAATACCATATGTTCTCTCTGATGTGTGGCAACTAATAAAGTATTAAAAGGTAATCTATAGGAGTAAAATTGACACTTTGAGATGTGATTTTGAACAACTCTTGTCTCAACTGTTGAAAAACAGTGATTTTTTTCTTCATACTATTTGTTGAACTCTTTACTTAGTGTAGGGCTAATCTTATGAATATAAAATTAGCTGAAAATAGATCTTTGTAAAAATAAGAGTATGAATAGGATAGGGAGGAAGGAGAAGGGTGGGAGTATGGGTGGTAGGGAGGGTAGGGTGGGAAGAATCACTATGTTCCTAAATTTGTATATATGAAATGCATGAAGTTTGTATACCTTAGATAAAAAAGAAAAGAAACATAAATAGTATATGCTCCAGCAGTGGTTATATATGATTCACACACATACTTACATATACATGTACTGGTCTTGATAGTCTCATTTCTTGGTTTTGGCAAGTCAATAGCAGCATGATGGGGTTGGTTTGAATTTGCTTAAGATTTCTTTATTTATTTGAAAAATGTAAGTTTCAGAGAAAGAGGGAGAGATAAGAGAGGCTGACTGAATGAGAGAGATCTTCCATTTACTGCTTTACTCCCCATGTGATGGCATCAGCTGGTACTGTGCCAGGTTGAATCTAGGTGCCTGGAAGTCCATCTGTGTCTCCCATGTGGGCAACAGGGCTCCAAGCACTTGTCCATCTTCTTCTGCTTTCCCAGGAATATTAGCAGGGAGCTGGATTATAAGTAGAGCAGCCAGAACTCAAACCAGTGCTGATATGGGATACCAGTGTCGCAGGTGGCAGCTTAACCCACTGTGCCACAACATTGGCCCTGGTTGAATTCAGACAGCACAGAATTACTGCAAATCTGTCCTCATAATTATGCTAGATAGTCTTTTCCAGATTAATTTAAAACATGTCACTTGACAGGAAGCTAAATGCCTTTTATTTTTTAAAAATATTTTTATTATTTATTTGAGAGATAGTTACAAGACTGAGGGAGAGACAGACAGGTCTTCCATCTGTTGGTTCACTTCCCAAATGGCTACAATGGCTGGAGCTAGGCTGATCTGAAGCCAGGAGGCAGGATCCAGAAGTTTCTTCCAGGTCTCCCATGTGGGTGCAGGGACCCAAGCACTTGGGCCATATTCTGCTTTCCCAGGCCATAGCAGAGAGCTAAATTGGAAGAGGAGCAGCTGGGGTATGAACCGATGCCCATATGGGATGCTGGTACCATAGGTGGAGGCTTAGCTCATTATACCACAGCACTGGCTCCTATCATGTTCTTTCCATTGGCCAAGATCATCTCACTTATTACGGTTAAAGAAATGAAAATAATAGGGTTAAATTTAGCTATAGCTTTAATGAATTTTTATTCTGAAATGGCATTTTTCCTTTAACTTTTTGGGCTCCAGCCAGGATTCTAGAGAATGGAATCTAGTCTTCTTTCTTCTGTGAATACCTGTTTGTGGCTTTCAACTTGTGGCAGTGCATAAGTGACAAGTCACTGATATGCATGGATGTGTGATTTGCTGGATTTGGATTTTATAGTCAATGAAGTTAAAATTTCGCAAAATCAGAAGGTGGGCTTTATATATCAGCAATGGCATCTGAGTCTCCAGTGAACAATATGGTATCCTGAAGTGAACATAAGACTTGGGTTTGATTTGTAGTTTTTCTGCTTAAACTAGTGTATCTCTTAGATTGTTTCATAGTTGATAAGGGGTGAATAATACCACTTTTCTCCAGTACTACTTCAGTGACTAAACATTACTACATGTAAGGGAAAGCAGTAAACAGTGCTTGGCACAGAGAGGGCAATCAACCAACATGACTTATCTGAATAGGAAAAGTATGAATTTGAGCAACAAAACAAAAATCAACAGTGTTGCATAATAACCAATTGAAGAAAATAAACATTCTTATTCATGTACATAAATAACTGAGCAAATAAGTAAACAGGGTAAAGGAACAGCTCTTTATCTTACAGAGGAACTCCAACTAACAGATGTTGATGGAGACAGAAATATAAATTGCCACAGTTAACAACTGTTGCAGGCAAAAACTATCAGTGGTTGCTCATAATAGCAGGCAGAAGTTTAAGGAAAAATAGATTTTTTTTAGCCTCAAAATATCTCCAAAATAAATCTGAGTTATAAAAGGAAAAATAGTAACTCTCTTGTAAGAAAGTTGGCAGACAACACACTTACCAGGTGACAGCGTCAATGGTAAGGAGACCGAGTAACCTTATGTGTCTGCTGACAAAAATGCATTGAGAAGGACATGTCATTTGTGTGGTATTTGGGCCAAAAATGGGTACCTTCAATCAAATCGCGGGAAAACAATACATGGAGCAAGTTGAAGAAAATTCTTGAGCATATTTATCAAAAGAATGAAGGTCATGAAAGACAAAGACCAAGAAAATGTCACCATTCTGAGGAAACCAAGGAGACAGAACAACTAATAGCAATGTGGAACATCAATGGAAAAACTTTAGTTTAGTTTACTGTACTGTACCAATATTGATTTCTTTGTTTTGATAATTGCACTATGGCTACACAAGATGCTAACATTGGGGAAACTGGGGGAAGAGAACATAGGAATTTATACTATTTTTTTGCAACTTTTCTGTAAGTCTGAAATTTTTTCAAAACAACAGAAGTAGTAAATAAATAAGACATACATAGTTATACTGTTAGCATAGTCACCTCACAGGCCAGCTGGTAAGAGAAAAACAGCTCGTTCAACAGAGATCACAGACAAGCCAGTGACTCTTTATTATACACGAGAGTTGGCGAAAGGACAGATTCGTTTCTGTCAAAGAATCCCCACCAAACATTCCCAGTGATGTTTCTGGTTACTGAATGCTTGCCATGGGCTGGAGTCATTCAGTAAGCTGCAGTTCCATGTTGAAAACTGTAATCTTCATTAGGATCCAGACTTAGAAAAGGCCCAACTTTAAAGATTCTGACTTGCATAGACTGAGTACTCCCATTTCCAGAAGTTCAAAAACCTCTTTTCTTATCTAAATGAAAGAAAACGAAACAAGAAAAAAAAAAAAACAAAAACAAAACGTTAAGATCAAGAAAAGATGGTCTTGGTGAATCAGTTCAGTCATCTGGACTCCCTGGTATTCACACAGCTGTTATGGCTGGAATCAGAGAGAGCAACAGTCCTAATTCACATTTGATTTGCAGCTGAAACAGTTACATAAACAAAGGGAGGATTACTACACAAAACATGAGTTTCACCTGAGTGTGCTTTTGTTTGCAGACATTCAAAGTAAAATACTATGCCAAGGTATTTCAAGGACCTCAGAGTGTGCTTTATGTAACCCAGATGATATGTAGCATAGGATTTTATTGTTTAGGAAAATTGTTCATAATGGCATCAACATAGTAAAGATAACATGGGTTACAAGATTTTTTGGATGCTATTTCTCTTAATTATAATTAGAAAACTAATGAATTCCTCAGATTTAACATTAATAACTGAAATCATCAAACATTGCCTCATGTGACTGACCTCAAATTAAATCTTTTGTGATATAAACTTCTTAAAAAACTTTAATGTTTTTATTTCAATAAGGTGAACAATTTCATATATTTTATACATACATACAGATTTAGGCGCATAGTGATATTTTCCGCTCCACCCTCCCTCTAGCCCATGCTCCCATCCATCCTCCTCCTTACTTTATTTTTTTCTTTTAATTATTAAAATGACATATTTTCAGTTTTAGAATAAGCTTAAATGACCAATAACAATTCGACAAATAGTATAAAGAAAAAAAAAAACACTGTCCCACAACAGTAGAGACAATAATAATCAACAGTGCTAAAATCTCAAAATGTCAATTTTATTCATACACATTATATTTTTATACTCTAAGTTGCCAAAGATCAGGGGAAACATGAGATTTATCTCTTTTGGGACTGGCTTATTTCACTAAGTATGGTTTCCAGTTGCATTCATTTTGCTGCAAAATACAGGACTTCATTCTTTTTTTAATCATTGAGTAGTATTCCATAGTGTATATATACTACACTTGATCTTAGCCAAAAGGCCGAGAAGTGATCCATCCATAGTGTATATATACCACATTTTCTTTATCCAGTCATCAGTTGATGGGCATCTGGATTGATCCCTTATCTTAGCTACTGATAATTGAGCTGCAATAAATGTGGGGGTACAGATAACTCTTTAATAGGCTGATATCATTTCATTTGGGTACATTCCCAGGAGTGGGATGGCTGGGTCATATGGTAGATCTATTTTCAGATTTCTGAGGAATCTCCATACTGTCTTTCACAATGGCTGGACTAGTCTGTGTTCCTACCAACGATGGATTAAGGTGCCTTTTTCCCCCACATTTTTGTCAGCATTTATTGTTTTTAGATTTCTGTATGAGAGCCATTCTAAGAGGTTAGGTGAAACCTCAATGTGGTTTTGATTTGGATTTCTCTGATGGCTAGTGATCCTCAGCATTTTTTTTTTTTCAATTGTCTGTTGCCATTTGAATTACCCCTCTTGAAAGATGGCTGTTCAAGTCCTTTGCCCATTTCTTAAACTGGATTGTTTTCTTATTGTTGAGTTTCTTCATCTCTTTATAGAGTCTGGATATTAATCTTTATCAGGTGCAGTTTGAAAACATTTTCTCCCATTTTGTCAGTTGCTTCTTCACTTTGATGAGTGTACCCTTTGCAGTGTGGAAGTATCTCAGCTTGTTAATACCATTTGTCAATTTTGACTTTGATTCTCAGTGTTTCTGGGGTCTCTTCCAAGAAGTCTTTGCCTATGCCAGTGTAGAGTTTCCCCAATGTTCTCTAGTAATTTGATGGCATTGGGTCATAGATTTAGGTATTTGATCCATTTTGAGTGGATTTTTGTGTAAGATTTAAGATAGGGGTCTAGTTTCATACTTCTGCATGAGAGATCCAGTTGTAGCGATCTCTGACGGCCTTGGTTAAATTTATCCCAAGATATTTAAATATTTTATAGCTATTGTGAATGATCTTACAAGTTCTTTCTTAGCCATGGCATTGTCTCTGTGTACAAAGGCTATTGATTTTTGTGTGCTGATTTTATATCTGGCAACTTTACCAAACTCTCTTGTTCCAATAGTTCCAATAGTCTGTTAGTGGAGTCTTTTGGTTCCTCACTACATAGAATCATTTCATTTGCAAACAGTGATAATTTATGTTTTTCCTTTCCAATTTGTATCTCTCTATTTTTCTTGCCTAATGGCTCTGGCTAAAACTTCCAGGACTATATTGAATAGCAATGGTGAAAGTGGGCATTCTTGTTCAGTTCCAGATATTAGTGGAAACACTTTTCAGTTTTCCCCCATTCAATATGACGCTGGCTGTGGGTTTGTTGAATATTGCCTTGATTGGGTTGAGAAATGTTCTTTCTATACCTAATTTGCCTAAGGTTTTTATCATGAGAGAATATTGTATTTTATCTAGTACTCTCTCTGCATCTATTGAGATAATCACATGGTTTTTATTCTTCAATTTGTTAATGTGATATATCACATTTATTGATTTGCATATGAAGAACCACTTCTGCATACCAGGGATAAATCCCACTTGGTCCAGGTGAATGACCTTTTTGATATACTGTTGGATTTGATTGGCCAGTATTTTGTTTAGGATTTTTGCATCTATGTTCATCAGTGATACTGGTCTATTGTTTCTCTCTTTGGTGTATCTTTTTCTGGTTTTGGAATTAAGATGATACTGGAAGGAGTTTGGGAGGATTCCTTCCCTTTCAATTGTTTTGAATAGTTTGAGAAGAACTGGAATAAATCCTTTTCAAAAGTCTGATAGAATTCAGTAGTGAAGCCATCTGGTCCTGGGCTTTTCTTTGTTGGGAGGGTCTTCGTTACTGATTCGATCTCCATCTTGGTTATTGGTCTATTTAGGTTTTTAATGTCACCGTGTCTCCATTTTGGTAGATTGTATATCCAGGAATCTATCCATTTCTTCCAGATTTTCCAATTTGTTGGCAAATGGCTGTCTAGTAATTCTTGATGATTGTTTTTATTTCTGTGGTATCATTTGCTGTATCTCCCTTTTCACCTCTGGTTTTATTGATTTAGGTCTTTTTTTTTGGGGGGGTAGGCCAATGGTGTATTGATCTTATTTTTTGAAAAAACAGCTTTTCATTTTATCAATCTTTTGTATTATTTTTTGTTTCAATTTTATTTCTTCTCTAATTTTAATTTTTATTTCCTGCTAATTTGGGGTTTGGTTTGTTGTTTTACTAGGTCCTTGAGATGCACTGATGACCCATGTATTTGATGCCTTTCCAATTTCTTGACATAGTCACCTATTGCTATAAACTTCCTGCTTAACACTGCTTTTACGTATCCCATAAGTTTTTGTAATAGATTTTATTCATTAATTTGAGAGTTATATTGAGAGAGAGAGAGCAAGAGAGAGAGAGAGAGAGAGAGAGGTCTCCTATCCACTGGTTTATACCCCAAATGACTGCAATGGCTGGAGATGGGCTGATCTAAAGCCAGGAGCCAGGAGCCTCTCCTCTGGTACTCCCACATGGGTGCAGGAGCCCAAGCACTCAGGACATCCTCTACTGCTCTCCCAGGCACATTAGCAGCGAGCTGGATCAGAAGAGGAGCAGCCAGGATACAAACCAGTGTCTGTATGGGATGCTGGTGCTGTAGGTAGAAGCTTAGCTTATTACACCATAGCACCACACCCTCCTCCCCATAAGTTTTGGTATGTTGCATTGTCATCTTCATGTTTCCAGAATTTTCTTGATTTTCCTTTGATTTCTTCTGTGACCTGCTATTCATTCAGAAGTATGTTCTTTAGTCTCCATGTGTTTGCATAGTTTCTAGAGATTCTTTTATTTAGAGATATAAATTTTAATACAATTATTTCTTTTTTGAACTTAAATGGGAACCAGAATGGGATGACCCAGAAGATGATGGTGCCTTGTTTGTCTTTTCTGTTATCACTAGATGAAGAAGATCTAGAATGATTTCTCTTTCTGTTCTTCTCAGGAGAAGATGATGAACTTGAAGATCTTCATGGGGAGGATGGGCCTCTGTGGGACCTGGAGCTGGATCTTGATTTCGACCCACAAGATCTCAAACATTCTCTGTAACTGGAACAAGATCTTGACTGTGAACCAGAAGAAATTCTTCAATGAAACCTAGACCTAGACCTTGAACTTAAGAGAGATGATGAGTGTGATGAAGAATGTGAATGTGAAGATTGAGGCTTTGAGTGACTTAATCTACTAGAATTCTTTTTATTATTACTGTCTTCTTCTTCATTGGCATCAAGATTATACTTTGAGAGATCAGCATCATCTTCATCCTCATCTTCATCTAATATATATTTAGGAAGATCTTCATCCTCATCCTCTTATTCTCCTTCTGATGCTTTGTCTTCAACTTCTTCTCTATAGATGGAGGACCAACTGCCTTTCCTCTCTTTTTTTCTTATCTCCAAACTCACTATATTCATTGTCAGATTCTTCTCTTTCTATATATTAAACATTTTCTCTTTCATTAAAACCACCACCATATCCTGTTCTTTCTTCTAGTTTAGCATACTTTGGAATATTACACATGTTACATTCTGATCTTTTGGACCAGCTCACATTACTGCAAGTCTTACACTGCCAGTAATAGGCACTAAAAAGGCCTCAGCTTTTTTCTGAAAGTCTTTCCTATTTCAGTGCCTCCATTTGTATCATCTTGGCTTTAGTTATTTTCTCCTGACCACATTGATTACACCTGGCTCTTCTAACAAAGTTTAAGTTTCCACAGTTTTTTGTCAGCAAATCCAGTCCCCATCACTGACTCAGAAATTCTTGGTCAATATTTTTTTTTTTAAGAAATGCATTTATTATTCCACGTATGAATTTACAAAACTTGTGTCTTGGTCAATATTTTGTATGCCACCATGTTCAGTCAACTATAGGTACCTCTTCAGAGAAGGAATCTGGGTGTGAACTTTCAGCACCTTGGGGCTGTCCTCACACTGCCTGACACTTGCCTACAAGTATGTCAGCCATTGATAATGAGGACACTAGGCCAGGGTTGAATTTGAATGACTGTTTAGACTAAGATGGCTGTGAGAATATTTCCTGGTGGAAAAGTTATAATACAAGCATCTTTTCTAAGGCTAAACTCTCTAGGGAGTCTTAAATTGTTAATTTCCAGTTTCATTCCATCATGGTCGGAAAAGACATATGGTATGATCTCAACTTTTTTTGAATTTGCTGAGAGTTGTTTTATGGCCTAGCATATGGTCTATCCTAGAGAATGTTCCATCCACTGAATAAAAGAATGTGTGATCTTCAACTGTGGAATGAAATGTTCTGTAGATATCAATTAGGTCTAATTGGTCCACAGTGTAGATTAGCTCTGTTTTTTGTTTGTTTGTTTGTTTGTTTGTTGTTGATTTTATATGAAGTTGATTTGTCCATTGATGAAAGTGGGGTGTTGAAGTCCCCCATTACTACTGTATTGGAGTCTAAGTCTCCCTTTAGAACCATTAGCACTTGTATTAAACAGCAAGACACCTGGCATTGGGTGCATATACATTTATTATAGTCACATCTTCCTGTTGAATTGATCTCTTAATTATTACATACTGCCCTTCTTTGTCTCTTTTTAACAACTTTTGTGTTAGAGTCTATTTTGTCTATATTAGGATGGCCACACATACTCATTTTTGCTTTCTGTTAACATGGAATATCTTTTTCCATCCTTTCACTTTCAGTCTGCATGTGTCTTTGTTGGTGAGGTGTGGGTTTTTTCTTTCTTTCTTTTTTTTGCAGAGAGAAAAGCAAGATTTGAGGTGTGTTTCTTGTAGGCAACAAACAGATGGATCTTGCTTTTTGATGCATTCAGTCAGTCTGTATGTTTTAATTGGGAAATTTAAGCCATTTACACAAAGTTATTATTGATAAGTAATGATTTGGTCTTACTATTTTTCCATAAGTCTCATATTGTTTGCTTTGGATTTCTTCTGTACTTTACTAGGAGATTTTTTTGCCTTCACATTCTTCCATAATGATGATTATCATTCTCTGTTTCTCTGTGTAGCATATCCTTAAGAATCATTTGTAAGGCTGGACAAGTAACAAATACAATTTCTGTTTTTTTTGGAAGGTCTTTATTTCACCTTCATTTATAAATGAGAGCTTTTCTGGCTACATTATTCTGGGTTGACAGGTTTTTGTTTTGTTTTGTTTTAGGAGTTGGACTATGTCTCTCCATTCTCTCCTAGCCTGTTATGGTGTCTTATGAGAAATCAGCTGTTAGTCTGATGGGGGATCCTCTAGGTTCTCTGGCATTCTTCTGGTGCATTTTTAAGAATCTGTTCTTTATATTTTACTGTTGAAAGTTTGACTATAATGTGTCATGGTGAAGAACTTTTCTGATTGTGTCTATTAAGAATTCTATGTGCTTCCTCTACTTGGATGTCCCTTTCTGGGGAAGTTTTCTGCTCTTATTTCACTGAATACACCTTCTAATATATTCTCTCTTTCCATGCCCTCAGGAAATCCTAAGACATGTATGCTTGGTCATTTGATAGTGTCTATAAATCTTGAATGCAATTTTCAGATTTGACATGAATAACTGAAATCATCAAACACAGCCTTAAAATTTGTTAAGTAAGTTTTAAAAACCAGTGAATTGGGGAAGAATGTATGAGAGGGGCCAGTGCTGTTGTTCAGTGGGTTAATACCCTGGCCTGAAGCACCAGCATCCCATATGGGCGCCGGTTTGAGACCCGACTGCTCCTTTTCCGATCCAGCTCTCTGCTACAGCCTGGGAAAGCACCGGAAGATTGCCCAAGTCGTTGGTCCCCTGCACCCATGTGGGAGACCTGGAGGAAGCTCCTGACTCCTGGCTTCAGGTCGGTGGAGCTCCAGCCATTGGGGCCATCTGGGGAGTGAACCATCGGATGGAAGACCTTTCTCTCTCTCTCTCTCTCTGCCTCTCCTCTCTCTGTGTAACTCTGACTTTCAAATAAATGAATAAATCTTCAAAAAAAAGTATGAGAGAAAGAGACAGAGATTATGTGTGTGTTTATGTGTGTGTGTTCATGTATGTATGCATGTATGTGTCTGAAGGGACCTGAGCAAATTGTTTTTTAATCTTAACTAGTATTTGATATAATACACTGATCAATTATAACTGGGCTTGGCCATTCTGAGGATGTAGTTTTATGTGGTAAATTAGTTCAGCATGCATTGAGGAGTTAATTCTAAGCCTCTTCAATGGTTACAGTCATGATTTATTCTTGGTTGATGCCTGACAGCCATGTTTATTTCTGTGCAAACCAATTTTCCTCCTAAGAGTTTTTCTGAAGCACCAGGGTAGTTTGAAAAATTACCTCCATGATAACATACTAGGTGGCAAAATCAAATTTTCACATTATGATGGGAATGGATTGCTTTTTATAAATATATATATTAAAATCTAATGCTGTATTCAAAAAGGTATTCATTTCCCTTCCTTCCTTCCTTCCTTCCTTCCTTCCTTCCTTCCTTCCTTCCTTCCTTCCTTCCTTCCTTCTTTCATTTCTTTCTTTCTTTCTTTCTTTCTTTCTTTCTTTCTTTCTTTCTTTCTTTCTTTCTTTCTTTCTTTTCTTTTCTTTTCTTTTCTTTTCTTTTCTTTTCTTTTCTTTTCTTTTCTTTTCTTTTCTTTTCTTTTCTTTTCTTTTCTTTCTGACGGGCAGAGTGGACAGTGAGAGAGAGAGACAGAGAAAAAGGTTTCCTTTTGCCGTTGGTTCAACCTCCAATGGCCGCACCGTGCTGCTCCGATGGCAAGCCAGGTGCTTCTCCTGGTCTCCCTTGGGGTGCAGGGCCCAAGCACTTGAGCTATCCTCCACTGCACTCCCGGGCCACAGCAGACAGCTGGCCTGGAAGAGGGGCAACCGGGACAGAAATCGGCGCCCCGACCGGGACTAGAACCCGGTGTGCCGGCGCCGCAAGGTGGAGGATTAGCCTAGTGAGCCACGGTGCCGGCCAAAGGTATTCATTTCTAATCCACTGAGACAGCAAAAAATTTGCAGAGTGGACAGTGAGAGAGAGACAGAGAGAAAGGTCTTCCTTTGCCGTTGGTTCACCCTCCAGTGGCCACCGCGGCCAGCGCACACTGCAGCCGGCGCACCGCGCTGATCCGATGGCAGGAGCCAGGTACTTCTCCTGGTCTCCCATGGGGTGCAGGGCCCAAGCACTTGGGCCATCCTCCACTGCACTCCCGGGCCACAGCAGAGAGCTGGCCTGGAAGAGGGGCAACCGGGACAGAAATCGGCGCCCCGACCGGGACTAGAACCCGGTGTGCCGGCGCCGCAAGGTGGAGGATTAGCCTAGTGAGCCGCAGCGCCGGCCCACAACATTTATATTATGTAAAAACTATGCATAGATTTCAGATTGTGGGGCATCAAAATAAACTTATCTTTTATATTTTTTATTTATATAAAAGACAGAGAAAGAGAGAGAGAGTAAGCTCTTTCATCCTCTAGTTCAGTCCCCAGCGCGCATACCAGCGCAGGGTACACCAGACTGAGGCCAGGTGCTTTTAACTATCTAGGTCTCCAGATAGTGGCAGAGATCCAACTACAAGAGCCATCATCTGCTGCCTCTCAGGGTGCACATTAGCAGGAAGTGGGAATGAAAAGTGAAGTTGGAACTTGAACCAGGCACTCCAAAATGAGATGCTGGTATCCCAAGTGGCACCTTAACTGCTGTTTCAAATGTTCATCTCAAACTTACCTTCTCCACAAGCTTTTTGAAGTACATTGGTATAAGGGTGAAAGGCAAAGATGAAAAACAGCCAAAGATGAAAAAGTGCTAAGTCCTTCAGATTCTTTCAGTACTACACACAGAAAGGCTGTAGCTAAGTTTAAGGGAAAGTGGTGACCTTCATAACTGTAGTTACCTTGGATTTAAAAGATACAGATCTTCAAAGCCAGAACGTGCTGGCTCCTCATGTCAAAGACTTTATTACTGTGTTTGAACTTGGGTTTACATTGAACAAAAGATGATTAAAGGCAATGGCTAGTTACACATTACCTCGGGAATGTCCATCATTCTCCTCAGCTTCTGATCTCTCCAATTCCAATCAAAAACAAGGAATTTTAAGGGGTTCAAATTAAGGCCACCTGAAAGAGACAGGGAGAAGAGCTGCTATCATAAAGATCTTATGACATAAGCTGATTAAAATGACTTTTTATTCTTCTGGTCACATTTTGCTTCATATGCTGTCTTCTCCGCCAGCTACTAATCTGTGCATGTTAAGTGCTGCCCTTGGTTTGATAGTAAACAAATGCAGCGCTCAGAGACTTCGTCTCCTCACAGGCTCAGCGCTGTTTGGAAGGAAGCAGAGAAGCTGCTCTTGGTAATGTCAAGTGCTCGCCTGCTGGCCAGACCTCTGTATCATGAAGCCCCAGAGGTGGGGTCTCATGCCTGGCAGGGATTTGACTATATGGTAGACTCTGGAATACTGTGGGTTAGATAGTCCCTGAGGTCCCCTCCAGCCTTCACATCCCATAAGCATCTTCTAGATACACAGGACCTGAAAGGGAATAAGTCCATGGCTTACCAGCCTCATCAAAAGGTAGCTTGAATACTGCACGTTCATCTTTACTGCCTAAGTCAAACCACACAACCCTCCCTCATCCTCTCCCCACTCTCCTCCTCAGGGTCATGCAGACTGTGCTAGGCTCAACTCCCTGCGGTACCACTGCCCAGAGCACAGGCCACAGCTTATCAAACCCACAGTATTCCAGAGTCTAGCGTATAGTCAGCTCTTCCCCTGCTGCAAGCCGATACACATCACTTGTGGAAGCCAGACCTGAAACCTTCCTGTACCTTCAGCTCCAAATTCTTATTCATGCTTTTTATAATTAACATGTCTCTTACAACTCTCTTGGAAAGATTTAAGATGGTAAATTGAAAAGGAAAATGGGTTGATAGTCTTCTCTTAAAAATAATTTATAGCTTCTCTTAAAAGTAATTTATGGGAGAGCAAAGAGGTACAGCCTATCTGTAATGAAACAGGGGATTATATAATAAGAATTTGAGAGTGCTTACTATTTGATAAAAATAATTTTCATTCTGACATATTCCAGAAACATCAGAACCTAAACAACATCACTTGCAAAGATGATTACTGAAGTGTTATTTCCATCAGCAAGAATTAGAAACAACTCAAATGTTCTATAAAAATTGTTTTATAATAAAATATTATAGAGCATTTATGGATGAAAAATTAAACATTTTCTTGATAAGGAAAGGCCATAAGAAATATTTTCAGTAAAAAAAGTAGGTTATAAAGTGGTGAGATAGACTACAATCTCTGTTTTACAAAAATAAAAAATATAAATGAATAAAAATAAAAGACTGAAAGGAGAGTTATTCATTATTAATTCACAGGAGATTATCTCCATATTGACTTATTTTCTCCTCTGTATATTTTTCCATTTTTCAAAAGCTGTTATAGTCAGATAATGCCCTTCATTATGTAAACACCACAATTCTGTCTATAACTATACAGATTCCAATATTATTGGATATTTTTCAACATCTGAAAACTCTTCATATATATCAACATACAAACATCTTGATCAGTCATAAACAGCTACATAAAGTGAGTTATACATCAATGATCTCACTTCTTCAGATTTTCAATTTTAAAGTGCTAGGACTCTTTTCTTTAAACATTTTGTAATAGCCCTATCATCTGTGGCCAGTGATCATTAAGCCATTCATTCAATCAGAAATAGAAAAGTTACTTTCATTAACTTAAAAAATCAACAACTCGATGTTACTGTTTTTACGTGAAATAGGCATTCACATGGAGTTTTTATTATTCTGTAGAAATCTAATTTCAACAGTTGGAACGGCCAATTTTCTGTCACTACCCTGGCTTTTAAATGCAGAAGACAGTGGCCCTGTTGTACGCCATTGTGTGTGTGTGCATGTGCAAGTACATGTGTGTCTGGTGACACACACAGAAACCTGTCTTCCAGGAAGGGGAGGATCTTCAGCTAAATCTTCTGAGAGAGGCAGGGGCCACCTTGAAAGTCTTTCCTGGTGTTTGCCTCTCCCACAGAAGGGCTATGGGGTGTTTCTCACCTTCAATGCCTTCCTATGTCTACAAGACAAAAATCCAAACTCCTCTACTTAATCTTCAAGGTCTTCCTTCCACAATCTTTCCAACTGAATGATGCTTAGGATATCTCCACAAGGGAAGTTGGTCTTACAAAGAAAACTAATAATTAGCATTTGTTGCTTGCTTAAGTTATGACACTCATTATACTGAGCTTTATACTGGCATTTTATGTTCATAATAATTATTGAGGTGGAGGTACTGTTGATATCACTGATGTTTGGATAAGAAAACAGGCATAGGAATGCTGACTAACTTGCCAACTCTACAAAGCTGGCAAATTTGTGGATCTAGGATTAGAATCCAGAGGTCTGAGGCCATAATAGGGGCTTTTAACCTCTACATAGTATTCCTACTTACTCTCTCTTAAAATTTTTTATGTGTTTTTTTTTTATTTTTAACTTTTATTTAATGAATATAAATTTCCAAAGTACAGCTTATGGATTACAATGGCTTCCCCCCATAACGTCCCTCCCACCTGCAACCCTCCCCTTTCCCACTCCCTCTCCCCTTCCATTCACATCAAGATTCATTTTCGTTTCTCTTTATATACAGAAGATCAGGTTAGCATACATTAAGTAAAGATTTCAACAGTTTGCTCCCACATAGAAACATAAAAGTGAAAAATACTGTTTCAGTACTAGTTATAGAATTAAATCTCAATGTACAGCACACTAAGGACAGAGATCCTACATGAGGAGTAAGTGCACAGTGACTCCTGTTGTTGACTTAACTAATTGACACTCTTGTTTATGGCATCAGTAATCACCCTAGGCTCTTGTCATGAGCTGCCAAGGCTATGGAAGTCCCCTGAGTTCACCGACTCTGATCATATTTAGACAAGGCCATGGTCAAAGTGGAACATTTTGATTTACTTTGAGAGGGAGGGAGGGATAGACAAGGTGAAGTAGGGGGAGAGAGATACATGCAGAGAGACAAACAGAGAGAGCTCCCATCCCACTGGCTCATTCCCCAAATGCCCAGGAACAGCTAGGGTTGGGCCAGGCCAAAGCTGCAGATGGGGAACTCAATCCAGTTCTCCCATGTGTGCGGCAGGGACCCAACCATTTGGCCATCTCTTGTTGCCTGTCAGGGTCACGTTAGTAGGAAGCTGGAACTGGGTGTGGAGCTAGTGTGGGGAGCAACTGAGACTAGACTAAATTACTGGAACTAAGACTAATTCTATGCATTTGATCTCCCACAATATGGCGCTGAGCAACAGCAAACAACTTCTACACAGCTGCCTCACCAGTTTGACTGATAAACTGCAGGAGCTGATCCTGCTCCTGATTGGAGGAGAGCAGCGTGCTCAGTGTGTGGGCAGCAGAGTTGGGATTGGTGGAAGAGGACTATAAAGGAGGAGAGAGACAACATGCACCGGGAAACATCTGAGGAACATCTGAGCAGCCCCTGAGAGAGCCCACTGTCGGTGTGCCGCTCCTCCGCGGAAGCGGGGAAAGCGGCGGGGGTGCCGCCCCTCTGCGGAGGTGGGGGAGGGGCCGGCAGCTAGCCCGGGATGGCGTCATTCCTCTGCGAGTGGGGGAACGGCAGCAAACCTGGGAAAGGGCCGGGCAAAGAGAACAGCGCAGGGTCCAGTGACGTTCCTCCGCAAGAGGGGGGGCGACAGCTAGGACTCAAACCCAGGCATTTGGATACAGAATGTGGGAGGCCCAAGCAACATCTTAACTATGAGGTCAAATGCCCACTCCTCACTGTCTCCTTTTGATATACTATGTGTATCTGCCTATCCTTTTGTTTGTTGTCTTTAAATTTTTTTCATTTATTTGCTTATTTAATTTTATTTAAGAGAGAAGGAGTCAGAGAGACAGAGATTTCCTATTCATTGGTTCACTCCCCAGCCAGGGCTGGGCCAGGCTTAACGCAGGAGCTGGAAACTAAATCCAATTCTCCCATTTAGAGCCAAACTACTTCAGCCACCACTGCTGTCACCCTAGGCATGCATTAGTTGGAATTGTGGGAAGAGCTGAGATTTGAGCCCAGAAACCTTGATATAAGATGCAGTGCCAAGAATGACGTAAAGTGCATATCAAAGAGCCCCAATATGGAGATAGCTCCACCCAAAATGACCTAGAAAAGAAGGAACCTTGACTTAGTGCACCAGGCCCATTATGACCTTGTGGTACACAGGTGCTCAGCTTTGTCAGCTGGCAGCTGTCATGAAACTCTGTGCTTGGGAGAGTCTGCAACCAAGTCTATCCAGATTTACCATAACTTGGATGAATTTGACATCTGCCTGCCTGGAGCATCACAGTCTATGGACTCTGCTCTTTTATTTTTCCTCATCTCTTTGTTTGATGAGAGTGATACACATTACTAAGTAACCCTGTGTGTTTGCTATAATCAATTTCTTTGTATGTGTTTAATAAATGAATTTGACATCGTGGAAAGACACAGGTGCACAGTCACCTTCTTGGGAAAGAATATCTCCCAGATACAACACTTACTCTCATGAGAGGTGTCTAGCTAAGTCAAGTAGGCACTCAAGAAATGTTTGATTAGGCTGGGAGCCAAGATGGTAGCTGAGTAAGAGGCTCTGGTGACCATCCCCCAACACAGACATCAATGTGAAGACTATACATACACCAAGTCACTCATGTTCACAAGAGCAATGGGAGCCAGGTGAGAGACTGCAGTACTCCATGTTTTTATAATCATAAGAAAAGTCACACTGAAGAGAGCAAGAAGGAAAGAGCTGCCCATGTCATCCTTCCCCCAGCTCCAAGGAACACTGCATGGAGAGAAGCCTCCGACTTGGGAGAGGGAGGATAAACTGAACTGCAATGTCAGGCGAACTCTTGGAGCTTTCACAGACAGGTGTGTCATCTATCCCCCAACTGCGAGCAGAAAATCAAACTCCAGCCCTCTGGAGAGACCAGGAGAGTGCGAGCAGAAAATCAAACTCCAGCCCTCTGGAGAGACCAGGAGAGGGAGATTAGGATCACACTTGGGAGCTCAAGGCCAGGCCTACCA